CAGTAGCTGCTGTTTAGCAACACTTTCTTGGTGTTGTGTGTAACATTATGTTGTTTTTATTTGGCCTATTATTATTATGTTAACCCTTATGTTGTGTTCGAAAGCTGTTACCGTTCATGGTGTTCGCAGGTCAATTTTGACCCATGATTTATCTCAGTCCAAAACACTCAAAAATAATGACTATCATCCAATATTGTTTTAACTACATCATAACTAAGTTATTATGCATTCATAACCGTACAATCCTGTTATCCAAAACACATTTCATCACATATTTAAGTAAAGAAAATGAAAAATGCACTCATTATATTCCCTATAGTGAAGACAGTGGATAATTATGTTATCTGACAATAGACTAATATTAGAATACAATTTCCCCCCCAAAAGTTTGTCTAAAGTCAAAGATGAATCTTGATTGGGCCAAATTTGACCCCGAGTGACTTACAACAATTCTGCTGGGTCTTCCTAGACCCGAACACCAAATTATACACTTTTTTAGAGGTTCAAAGTTCTTTATTTGTCATACGAACATAGCTACAGAGTAGTTATGTCGATGAAAATCTTAGGTCACAGGCTTCTCCAACAGTGCAACACAATAATACAGAAAAATATAGTGCAAGTAAATATTAAAAAGTAAATACTTTAGAGACCTTCAGATTTGGCTAAAATTGTCCAAATCAGCTTTTTAGTGTTTATATACATGTAGCTGTTGTGGAGGATATCATGAAGCCTTGTTCCGATAAAAAAAACTAGAGCGTAGTTATTATATAATTTTAACTTGAAACGGGTCATGGGAGACCCGAACACAACATAATGAAATCCGCCGCCATTCATCTCATTTTGACTATTTTCTAATATTTAATAAATATAATTTAAAACAATCATTTTGACTTTTTTGTGACCAAAGACGCTCCACAACTTATTCGCTTCACACATTGAGGTAAGCTTAGCATTAGTTTTATTTTTGTTCCTAAAGTTAAGATGTTTTTGAATGTTTTATCAAAATGTATGGTCAAATAGTGTGTAAGGGATTTGGGAAACACCCTGGGCTAATCCTCACTGAGTTTGCACTTCATCTTCTGTACGTCACATAACTCTTTCTTCTTTTAGATCAGGGATTTTCACTTCAGGCTCCAAATACGAGTCTGGATTTATTGGATTAGCAGTTCTCGTCCCGTAGCTCCTGAGACAAACATTCCCATGTTGAACTCTCACCTTTGACCTTGTTTAGATTTAGTTCAAGCAAAGAAAATCCTTTAATTGAGAGGAGAGAGGGATTACAATGGACGTGGAGAGAGAGAGAGAGTAAAGTTGGTGGTGTTAGGCGGGGTAAGGAGGATATGGCAGCAATGCAAAGCAGACAGAGAATCAATAAAGGGAATGGAAAATCAGTGGTAACCAGAATAGAGCTGAACAGTATTATCAAAGCTCTTTGGCCTGACCTTGAGGAATTTATTCCCAGAATAGGGGTGTTTAATCTAGAACCCTAATGTGCATCCTGGTTTCCAACGGGGTTACCCAAAATGTGAAGAAGTGACACTTTCACTCCCAAATGCCATTTCAAAGTTAAAGTATTTTATTATTTACCCATTAAACATGGATTAATGGATATTTTTGGCAACTTGGGTGCAACCCAAAACTAGTTGTAAACACAATATTAAAATATTATAACCTTTGAAAACGATTATTACTTATTGGCAGACATTTCCTATTCTTTCTCCGAAACTCATGTCATGTTTCTGGAAACCTGATAAAGGTAATTACAATATTGACGTTCTTTTATTTCTGTTTGTTTGAATTAAACTAAGTATGTTTAGTACTGCACTTAAATATACATTTGAGGTACTTGTACTGTAGAGCATTTCCATTTGAAGTTATAAGGCAGGTTTTGTGGTATTCTAAGTTATACTTCCAAAAAACACTGCAATGAAAATATTTGTTGCTAGTTTATTTACATATTCAGAATTGTAATACAAAATATAAGTCAACTCCATATATTAACATTAACTCCATATTAACCAGCTGCAACATAATAGTGATGAATTAATATGTGTATATATATATTTTCTGAAATGGGCCGTCTTGCTGCATGAGAACTTGAGAGGAACATTTGAAGTATTTATATCTAAATACTTTCACAACTGGTTGGCTTGTCAGTGAACATTTTAAGTGTCCTGTTGAGCTCAGTCTTCCGTTTTAAACCTTCTAAAAATCACCATACATGTAACTAGAAGTCATACATGACATTTTGAATTTGAAACTTGACATCTCTGAGGTAAACGTCCTGACCTCACCTGTCAATATTGAAAGAAAGGCCTGTGAGGACATTCTCACCGTGGTCAAAATCCTATTACCTTATAAAGACTGTCTGAAGGGTTCATATGAGATCATTCAGGGCGATGTGTGGGAGGGGGTCATAGAGAAACGATAACAAGGTCTTTATGTCCATCTTATAAATAACGTGAAAGACCGATCTGAGAGCAGTCTTGGGTTTACAACAAACAGGTCACTTTAGTCCAGATGTAATCTCATTGTACCATATGGTGGGGGATTTAACAAATGAGGGCAACTCAGGTAAACTCTGGTGAGCTTTCACACCAACGAAAAACAAGTCCAACTGAATCTAAGGTTGGTTAGATTGATTTGAAGGAATAAACAGAGGTGAACTGGGAGGAAACACACTGAAATTGGTGTAAACTAATATCAAATTTCATTTATTTGTCATAATTCGTCTCTGTCTTAAAGCTCAGACGATTGTTAGATATGTTTATGTGCAGATGCCAATTTACTGACAAATGTAGATATTATAAAAGTCCAAGGACTTAAAATCTGACACTATTCTGTTCAATATTTGTAGTGGTCTCTGCCAGGGGCTAACATTACACCATTTAATCTCTGTTCATAAATGCGAAGTTTGTATTTTATTTTAATTGTATCTTGATTGTCAAAGTTAGTTTTCATATAATACATTTAAGGTCCAAACAACAGTAAAAAAAAAAACATGTCAGTTTTTCATGCACTGGTAAATTTTAGGAAATTATTAGATGCCTTTTTTCAGAAAAGTTGAAAAAAAATGTTTTAGCTGTTTATTTAACCATCTTTGTCAATCTGCGTCAGTAGATTTTTGATTATTTTACCAAAAGAAAGCATTACTGTATATGATAGCTCATTTGCATATTAAACATAATATTTCAGAAAACTTGTAATAAAAATCATATTTAATTGTGTTTTAATGTTAGTAATGAACTGAGGATGTGTCACGGTGATCTATGTTTTTTATAACTGTTTATAATATGTTCTGAATTCTGGATTCGAAGCCCCCTCTGCAAAAACATTTGACTCATCACTAATCTGAAACTAAATCAAATTTAAAAAAATGAACCTGGAATGTTCAGATTTCTGTGTTGAAAATGTACGTAAATTAACACCTAATGTTTGATAAGATCAAGTTATAATTTTCCTATTTTAACATAATGTAAGTAATCATTATTTTATGTGTGGCTCCCCTTAAAATATTTACGAATGGTTAGTTAGCTGTTTAATTACCTAGCTTATTGGCCGTTCTATATGGCTAATAGTTGCTATATAGTTCTTTGTCTACATTTTGATTATTATCCACAACTAATCAAAATCTTGAATTAATCCAAATCTAGATGTTGCATCCCCTTTGAATAAACTAGTGGTATTGATTTGTGGAATTCCCTTTTTGGTCCCGTGTTTGTTTAACAGGATAAAATGCTGTGATTCAGACCAGGACACACCGGGGTCTTCAGGTGAATCAGATTATCTGAGACCTGCCCAGGGAAACTTCCTTCCGGTCGGGAATCAAATCTGCTGCACTCCTGTCCTCCTGACTCTTTTAATGTAATCGGGTGTAAGCAGGAAGAGTTAATTCAACATGTATTTATTTGACTAATCCAAATCCATTGTAAAGAGAAAGCTGAGATAGAACATACACACATAGTCACATTTTCTTACATATATTATATCTGCCCTTATCTCAGTGGCGTAACAAGGTTGTGATTGGCCCCGGTGCAAATATTGTTTTGGTTTGCTGTACATTATAAATGCAAGCTATTACATTTTTATAATGCTGCTGAACTTGCTGCTGCTAGCTACAGTACAGTACAGGTTGATTAAACGGTTCGCTCGTCATTGGACAGACAAATTACTAATTAATTTAGGTTGCTTGGTTATTTTGAAGACTGCGTGAACCGGTCAATGCCATTAAAAATATACGGCTGCACCGTCGATAGTTACGCCACTGCCTTATCTCTTATTGCACAAATAGAAAATGGTTTGCAGATGTTGTTGTAATTCCTGTTGGTCACCAGTAGACGTCAGTGGAGGTTATAGATCTACTAATTAGTCTGACTTAAAGTCTATTAATATTGATTGATCCCAGAGAGGGGACAAATAGGGTATGTTGTATGAAGAGATCAAACTGAGTAATATGCTATTTTTCTTATATTATGTTTGGAAAATACTGCACTTTATATGCACTGAATTTTTCCATCTTAATTTAGTTTTTTAAAATGTGTTCTAAATGTTGCTCTAATGCATGTTGTTACCTCGCCATTTTTGCAAAACAGATCCAAAGAAAAGCTAGTCAACCAATATTCCTGAATGAAATATATAACATTATATGCATAATATGTTTATGCATACATTTACAAATGTTTAAAATATAACATTAGTTATACACATACTGCATGTATCTATGCTATATAAAAATGTTAAGATAATGTATACCGTGAATGTAGTGATATTTAATCTAAAATACAGTGTTTTGCGCTTTATGTCTTTCTGTTAACTTTGAAGAAGTGCAATGACATGTTCAGAGCTATATCTACAAATATCAATATACTCTATGTTCAAATCGGCATTTATTTTTGGTATTTAACTTATTAACTCATAAAAATGCATGAACGTGTATTAGTATTACAAAGAGAATCTCATTTATATTGTTGAAAATGTAATTTAAAAAAAACAGCCATGTATAATGTATCAAAAAGTGTTTATTTAAACCAAATAGGATAAACTGCTTTACAGATATTCAAATACTATAAAAAAACAAAGAGATATTAAATCATAATACACCATCAATAACAGTAACAGCACAGCCGGTGCACATCTATGACTGAAATGTTTCTGACATGCTTGTAACACTAGGACATTAAGAGTTTGATTCAGTGGCTTCTATCTCATATTAACACTGACAAAAGAGGCAGAAGCAGACTTTCAATCTGAAAATAATCCAGACTTCCTGTTTGGGCTCAGCGGTGGTGTCGGTACACACGGATCTTGCGGCTGAGGTTGCGAGCGAGCCGGTCCACGGCGCTGCCGATGTGTCCCACCTCCTTCTTAGAGGTGAGGCCCTCGATGTTCCCGCTGTACCACAACACCCACCCGGCCAGAGACATCACCACGAACAGAGCGCCTGCAGTCAGATCAGTCAAGAGTTTAGAACACAGACAGTTAAGAAACCAGAAAAGGAAATCATTCAAATAAAAAAATATCACTTTTACAAAGATGTATTACATGTGTTGCTTTACTTATTGGACCAAAACCAGAATTGTTGGTTCGTATAATATGGATATTTAATCAAATCTGATATTTGCACACTTTCCTACTTGACGAACAACAATTTCGTTCGGGGTAAAATCAATTATATGGATTCTTTGAGTAAGTGAAAGATAAATGTAAAAATAGGTATTAAAATGCACTTCTGCATGTTGACATCTTGAGAACAATAAAAATATACAAATATTGCAGTGCACAATTGCATTCTTGTTTTAGTTCATTGATGAGTTGCATGTTTTTTTATTGTGTTTTCTATACTGAAAATCCCTTTTTAACATTTAACAATTGAAACCCTAGAAAAAATAAAAACAATCCTAAACCTATCAGATTAAATGTGTGAACTGAACATCATTCAGAGCTTACTGTACCTCCCATTGCAAAGGATGAATGTTTTTTACTTTAAATTCCATTCTCTTCTCTATTTTAATGCTTTTGTAATTCCTCCCTTATATTGTTGTTGCATTTTGATTTTAGGGATAATTGCATACCAGTATAGACCAGTAAGTCTCCAAAGTCATGTCCATTGATCTCCAGGGTAGCGAAGACCCCCACCAGCAGAGTGGCTCCTCCCAGTAAATCCATCAACACAGCAAAGGCCAGAGCCAGCTTACAGTGGGAGAGGCTGTCACACAGGCCCATAGTGGAACTGTGGAAGAGGGAGAGAAAGGACTTTTATTATATAAAGCAGGTACACAAAACACATTCAAACTATATCTTTACCACAACCAACAATGATAGTAAAATTATGCTTTTACATAAATGCATGATAAAATGACTAACTAACTAACTAAATACAATATATAGTAGTATAATAGTCTAACAGTCTATATATATACCATATAACATGTTTATATTTTTAATACTTACACTCTATTACATAAGTAACATGTTCAATGCAGGACTTGCAGCAGAGCATGTTTACAGTGTGGTAATAGTTATTTTACATTAGTGAACCATATCAGTAGCTTACTTCTTCCACTGTTCTAATATTCAGTCAATATTAACCACCATGTTGATAGCCCACCACCACCTAAACACTGATGTGACTCGTGAGGCTGTCCATTTTTGGAGGGCTTTCAGTGGAAATAGGATTTCATGTCTGTAAGCTTTCTTAACACCACAACAACATGTATTGATTCTATCATGGAGATTTTCCTACAAAGATGGACAAACTAAAGATATTGGTGTTCATGTGTTACAGCCCTCCTCAGGTGAGTCTTTACAATTCTGCAATACAAATGTAAAACAAATAACGTCTCCCACCGTCAATACTTCTACATTGACTCACATGTTATAGGTGTTTCTCCAGCTGCATACAATCTTGCTTTTTTTGGTTCTTATGCGAAGTTTCTCTCGTGCAGTTTTTCTTTGTTTCCGCGTTTACTGCACCTACCTGGGCCCCGCCCCTCAGGTGACACGTATCCGGTCTGCCCGTTCCCACCTTCGTCTTTAAAGACAACAATAAACAATTAACATTGAAACAATAACCACAGGTTATGTTAATGTTTCAATTACACTTGTACAAAGATTATATTCTGCAATACCCTTTCGTAATTGTTTAAATGTAATATTAATTACACGTGTTATGTCTTTGTGTGAGAACATGTCACGGTTTATATGGAGACATTATATATGCAAACATTTCTAACTAAAAAAGGCTAACTACTCTTTATCGTAGTCCATTTTATTTGTATTATTTAAAATAACTCAATGAATACAAATACTAGCTTTATTAATTGTTAATAATCATTTGGAAAATCCCATATAGGCTACAATGACACACAAATAATTGATACTACATAAATAATACAATTCTCTAGAAAAGCTGAAAAAAAGAAAAGCAACAAACACCCAAACAATATAAAAAACATGTTGAATATATACTTGTTAATTTGAGGTGCACGTTTTAGTATGTTTTTGTTCCTCCTATGTCTTTTGTATAACTTTAATATAAGTTACTTAACTATCAGGCCTTTGGTCTTTTCTTTGCCAAGTACATATCCTGGCACCCTTTTTTTCTTCTTTTTTCTATTAACTAGTTTGTGTTGTTTGTGTTTTACCTATCAATAAAGTTAGGATGACAAAAACTTTGATCCTCAACTATCCAACCAACCTGCAACACTTCTGACTGAGTGGAGTCAGAGTGGTCATGGTGTGCAGGTGTTCAGTAGTTCCGACATAACTTTAAAGCTTTTTTTTAATGAGGAAAAACCAGCGTTGTGCGCATGTGCACACCTGAGCGTGCTACACCTGTTGGAGCCACTTATAATCAGGTAATTGCTGCTGAAGATGCGGACTCGCGGACGTTGAGCAGCAGCTGCGTGTCGTTTTCAGGCTGTATTACAGAAGTATAACTGCACATAGCTTTACTGAAGACTAAGTAATAATACCAAGTTTATCACTTATTTCTCACCAGAGCAGCTCGCCTTTCAGTCATGAATCCTCCAACAGACAGAGACGATACGCACCCAACAGGTAACGTTTTTAATGGCGTATCCCCACCTTGTGCTACGACCAAAAATGCTACACGGCGTTGAAGTTACTTTAACACTAATAAGCTAAACTCCTCGTCTGTTTATAGACTCGACTGTCTTTATTTATGCATTTTGACAATATGGGATGTTGGGTGCATTTATGTGCTAAACAAATCACCAAACTGCCTCTTTAAATGTTATTATTATTGAATTCAATATAGACCACGTTATAATTTACTAACGGCTCATTTAGCATCTAATCTAGCTTTACAGACGTTTACCCTATAGTTCTATGCTATGACTATTTTACTGATGTGCTGTTGTGTTGATTTATTTCAGAGTATAGGTTTCAAAGTATTTCGATTTTCAAACTACTCAAAGTTATAGTTGCAACTTTGTAATGCTTTTTGTGCACTCTTTCCTAGTTTGTACAACCACTGGTGCACATCATTTTACCTTGATATATCAAGTTCTATATTAATATATAGCTAGCGTCTTTTACATTTCACATTTTATGATAACCTTGATACATTATTTTTGTGTTACCACCATCTATAACACTATTGATACTCATGTATTGTCTGAGTCATGTATCCATCCATCCATCCATCCATCTTCTCCCGCTTATCCGTGGTCGAGTCGCGGGGGTAGCAGTTCCAGCAGAGAGCCCCAAACTTTCCTTTCCCTGGCGACATCAACCAGCTCTGACTGGGGGATCCCAAGGCGCTCCCAGGCCAGCGAAGAGATATAATCCCTCCACCTGGTCCTAGGTCTACCCCTTGGTCTCTTCCCAACTGGACGTGCCTGGAACACCTCCCTAGGGAGGCGCCCAGGTGGCATCCTAACTAGGTGCCCGAACCACCTCAACTGGCTCCTTTCGACGCGAAGGAGGAGCGGCTCAACTCCGAGTCCCTCCCGGATGACCGAACTTCTCACCTTATCCCTAAGGGAGACACCAGCCACCCTGCGGAGAAAACCCATCTCGACCGCTTGTATCCATTCTTTGATCGCAGCACTCAAATGTGTGCATGTTCTACTTTACATCAAGAAAAAATCAATAAGTTTGAAGAAGGGGGACAGTGGTGGGATATGTTCTTTATCTAATTCCCTAAAACTCTGTGGGCTGCACTGTCTTCAAATCAACCTGTAAAGAAGAATCAGCAGATCAATCTATCATGATAATAATCTAATAATATTCTGTTGTCTTGTGTGTGTTTCTCAGAGCACTACATGCCCCAACCCACATCCTCAGGAGGGGGAGGGTTGTACCTGGACAGCTATGAAGTCTCTTTTCCTCTGGAGGAGAGTATCGAGAGACCCCCTGCTTATCACCTGAACCAGGGTCAGCCGATGATGGACGGTACGCCACGTCTACTACACATGACCACTGCTTTTCTATTTGTTCCTAGTTTTATAATGAAGCAGCTAATTTACTGTGATAGTTCATAGTACAAGTTATTCTACATGTTCCCGTTGTCACACTGCATTCAATAGATGTTTTAAATCGGGTAATTGTTTTAGTACTAATATAGAAAATGAGGGGTAGTTTTTTCAAAGAGACAGTCAACCCTCTTTTAACAAGCATGTTAAAACCCAGAGATAATTTAAGTCGAGATACAAATGAAACATACTCTCCTACCTATACAGTCATCAATTACATTGCTTTCACCTCTTTTTTTCTTTCAATGTTTTTTGACTTTTTATTTTCAGTTTTTCAAATATATTCATGTATTTCCTCCTCTTTTTTGCTTCTTTACCTTATTTGGTAAAGCAGCTTAGCATAACATGTTCACTACTCTACATATAAGTCAGGAATTAAACAAATTGTAGAAATCAACCTAAAATGTAAAGTTATTATCGGCTGGTCTTTATTTATGTGCTCAGGATAAATCTTTTGTACAATAAGTGACATTGTTGTACACTACTGCTGTATACATTTATGACCGCAGTCACAAGAACTTATGTTTAATACAGTCTATGGTTTAATGGCTGTTCTCCTGCAGGGCCTGTGGTGCACGAGCTCCCTCACTCCCAGTACAGCCCTTTCATCCTGATCTCTAACCTGCGAGCTCACCTGTACGTCACTCTGGAGAAGAACACCTGGCTGCAGAAGCGCATCGAGGATATGGAGGAGGAACGCAACTTCCTGCGCTGTCAGCTGGACCGATTCATCATCAACATGCGGGGTCCGGAGGGTGAGGAGTCAGCTAACGATTGTTGTATTTAGTTTGTTGTTTTGTTAAAAGGAACAGTTTTTAAATTCATCCACATCAACAAGTGATCATGAGGTTAGGATGAACATCATTTTTTATTTCTCTAAATATAATGCAAGGTGTGTTTTTAAAATAACAGATGAGTAAGGAGGAATTTCAATTCACATATGTGTGCAAATATTCAGAATACATAGCTAAGATGAGTCAATTATACACGTGAAAACAAATATATATATATATATAATATAACAACATATTTAAGTAAATAAAAAAGGTACTTGCACACTTGAAACATTGATTATTACAATGTAAGACTAGTAAAAGGAATTTCTATTTAAGGAACATATATATAAGTATAAGTGTTTTCTTTTAAATATGTAACATTTTAATGCAATTAAATACAATCAGTCATTTAGTTTTGCGAGCAACTACCTTTTTATGAAATACACAAATGACTAATTGAACCTATAAAAATGCTTAATTTATTATTAACACAGATGTTTTAATGCAAAACATTTATCTGCCTAGTTATAAATACCTACAGCTTTAGAACAGGAGTGAACTGGACGGACCTTCTGAGAGCGCAGACTCTTGGACGGTCCCGTCTCCCGAGTTAAGGAGTAACTACTCCCCTACAATGACAGATTGGTCTGTAGACCCCCAGCGTGGGGTGATGGTCCAGCCTGCCAGCCCCCCCTCCCCTCCCTCCCCCATGACCACCCGGTCTGGGATGACCCTGAAGCGTCTGCAGGGAGCGGCCCCTCGGCCCCGCCGCGCCTCTGCCTTCCCCGGTGAGACATTACTGTACCCTATCAAGTTGGTAATATAGGAACTTGCTTTTTTTTCTCTGTCATTCTCAAATATCACATAGAGACTGTCATAAGATGATAATCAACTAATGGATTAGAAGAAAATCACTCATCCAAACTATTTTGAAGTCAACTATTCATTATAATAATTACATTACAAACATTTTTCATGCATAAACAGCAGAAATGTCTTTCTTCAGCCACTCGAATATGGCAATTTCCTGATTTCTCTCTGTACCATCAAACCAAATTCAGTTGGTTTTGGACTGATAAATGACAAATATTTTATGAACAAGCAATTAAATAGATCTTGTAAATTGATAGTGTTTCTGCCCTTTACATGAAATTACTTTATTTTCTTTGCTGCAGTGAAGCAGGAATTTCATCTGGATGAGGATCAATTCTACACGGAGGATGAGTTTGTTGAGGAAGAAGAGGAGGAAGAAGATTCGTCGGTGGAGAAGGGCTCAAAGAAGAAGGGCCGAGGGCGAGCCAACGGAGAGCCGAGGATGAGGAGGATCTTCAGGATCACCCACGGGAGGGAGAGACAGAGAGGTTAGTGCTATACTATTTGTTAGAAAAATATCACTCGTCACCGGCTTGAGTTTCAAAACAGGATACATGTATTTATTCTCCTTGCACGAATGGAAGTAGTCATCGCACACAGAGCATTTGGTACAACTAGTTCCCAGAACAGTGTCCTTCAGATGCTGATAAACAAGAGAGGGTGTTACAGTCACAAGATGCAGAATACCGGTTCAAAGCAGTATTCTATGCTTAGTTCAGATTAGCTAAGGCCTGCAATAAACATGACAGTCATATGTCTATCTCCATAGAGGCTGAATCATCATGTTAATCGTTGTCACATATCATATGCCTAAAACAGTGTGTCCTGATGCTCTTCTTGGTAATCATACATCCTGTTACGTACACAGCTACGTAGGGCCTCCCTATCTGCGAGGCTCCACTAGCACCCGCACCCGCACCCCCAAACGCTGCGCACCTACAATGTGACGGCCCGTCCACACGGCGGCGTGCGTTGAAGCTTCAACGCATCTGCCCATTCACTTTGAATGGGGTGACGTCACGCTTTGCCGAACTGCATTGTGGGAGCATTGCTTCGCTTTGCTCGCGTTGCTCGCTTCAAAAGTTGAGCAATGTTCAACTTTTGAAGCTTCGACGGAAGCATCATCCAATCAAATCATATGCCAGTACAAGCTCTTGCCAATCAAACCGCGTGCTTGTGTGTCCGGGGCAGGAGATTCATGTGATTGGTTGTTGGTCGAGTTTCGGACACGCCCGCCGGCAAGCTTCAACGCACGCCGCCGTGTGGACGCTGCGGAAGCGCGCCACAGTTTCGCCACTGCGAGGCTACACTGGCACCGCCCCCACCAATGGGTCCATTTGGGTATGGGCACGTCACTGTACCCCGGAAGAAAACAATGGAAAATGAGAAATCTCCAACGAGGCGTTCTGGGGCAGCACAGACAGGTCTTTTCTGTGTTAGAGTTTTAGTCGCTACAGGGTGTACTTTGAGGGTTTGTGACTCTGCAGACCGTTTACATGCAGAAAAAGCTACATAACACACAAGGGGACGGGTGATAACCAGAAAAGCATGACATGGGACCTTTAATACCCAAATGCACTGTCCTGATGTTGGCAAACTCCAATCTAAGGAACACTTGGTGTTTAAAGGGTACATCTAAATTAATCATCAAAACGGTTAATGGTTTTCAGTTTTACTTTTGCATTTTCTAACCCTTCTCATTCTTCCTCCCCCAGTTAAAGACCCAGAAGGGGTTATGATTCGCTATAACAAGATCCTTACCACCTACCAGCGGGTGAGGAGCATGTCCAGAGCCTTCCAGGTCCACGGAGTGGACAGGAACACCATGGCCTCCACCTCCCCCATCGCAGAGCTGCTGCTGGTGGCTCCAGAGAAGGTCTGATGCCTTTTTTAAATGTTCCTGTTCATGTTAATATGTGTATGCACTCACTAGAAACAAAGTCCATCACCTTTTATTATGCTAACAACCTACAATAACAACATAATGTCTGCTGTGTAATCCATAGTATACATTTTATTACATTTCTGTCTGCTTTTGAGGCATTTTAGTCTGTGATCAAATAATGGTAAAAATGCAATACAAATATTTGTCAGCATCTTGTGACCACATTGTCTCAAAGCAACCCAGAATAACCGTAGCAGAATAAGAGTTAAACCTGTAGCCAGATTGAAGCGAACTGATTAAAATGTGCGCAAAATAAAGCCACACTTGTGATGTTCCTGCAGGTGGCGGAGGTCGGGGAGTTTGAGGCTTCAAAGGAGAAGCTTTTGGATTACGCTCGGCGGTGCTACAAGACCATGGACGAGCAGACGCATGTGAAGGTCCAGGCCATGAAGAAGACTCACAAGCTGCTGCCCATCTCCTACAGGTTCAGAAACTGAGGGACAGGAGGGGGGACGCTGCAGGAGGCAGGGGGGTTCTACACTAAACTTTACATTTAGATTTTTCATTGCCTTAAAAAGATACAAGACATGTGAGAATGTCAAGATAGATGCCAAGGTACAATATTATTGATTTAAAAATGATTTATCGTTTGCCTTAATCCAGGAATTAAGTGAATGTGGACATTTACAGGAAGACAAAGTATAGTGTGAATTATCATGTCCTTTTCATTTCCAAGCATTATTTGAAATACTGCAAACTGTTTATATATCAGTTATCAGAGTAAAAGATTATTTACAGAACCAAAAGGATTGTTTATTTAAATGATGGCATTCATCTTTTGTTTGTATCAAAACATGTATTTGCTTTTATTTATTGATTTATTTCTTTGTAAAAAAAACGTACATTTAAAATGTATAATTGGAAAAAGTTTTTTTTTTCTTTTTTTCATAATTGTCCTGCCTACGTTGTATACTTTATGATTTTGCCAGAAGGATCTGTTGATGTAGTATTTGTATTTGGAAAGTTTGAAATGTAGTGGAAGTAAATTCATTTAAATATATAATGGTTCTGGTTTATCTCTGTTTCACACTCGGAACACAATTCATGAAGAGTTTAAATTAAAGTATCAGCATCTTTAGAGCAACATTCAAAGGAGAGTATAATAAATGATGCCACCATTACTTAAAGCTCATTATTTAACACCAAAAATGTATTTATATTTAACTTTATATGCTCTTGTCAATAACATCTTAACATCTTGAATATGTATTCCTGATCTGAGAAATTAAATGAGACTGGTAGGTTTGGCTTCTTATTTATAAAAGTAGGCCTACTCTATAGTAACTGGCAGACTGCAGCGCCTTCCAGTGGAAGAAGGGGGTAATGCACAGGGGGAAATAAACTTCAACACACTGTATTTTTGTTCATTAATGATTGCAGTCAGAATTACTATTTATGGTTGCATTTTTTTTATAAGCTTCTAAACATTTGTTTTTTTGTTTACAGTATTTACAGCTTAAACTAGTTTGCATGTCCATCCATATTTCCAATACTATATTTTTCCTGCAGTTACTTTGACACTATACGAGCATCAAACCAGGACCTGGTGTGTTCATTTTTATTTTAGACTGTTCACACACGTGTTCCTTTCAGTTCTCCAGAGGTGCACAGGAGCCTAAGTACATGCATTACGAAGAGAGAGAAAGAGTGAATTAGAGAGCTGAAAATAATTGTGGGTTGAGATCTAGCTATAACAAAGCAGCTTGTACCCGTCTGCCTGAAAGTCATCATCAATATGAGGCAGCAAATATTTAAATTGAACGCATGTAGCCTTGGTTCAGATGAACAGCTTGGACGTGGTGCAGAACACACTGTGCTTTACCTGCATGAAGTAGCCATGTTGCCCAGTTTCTTGGAGTTGAATTTCCTCTTCAACGATCCGGCAGTGGGTCAGACAGTAGGGGCTTGGACTGGGAGCTGTAGGGTCGCCGGTTCAAGTCCCCGACCAGACCTATAATACGGAGTGTGGACTGCTACCTGGAGAGGTCCCAGTTCACCTCCTGGGCCCTGCCGTGGTGCCCTTGAGCAAGGCACCGGACTTCCCCCCCCCCACTCCCATTGCTCTCCGGGCGCTGTACAATAGCTGCCCACTGCTCCTAGTACTAGACTCCTGGTACTAGGATGGGTTAAAAGCAGAGAACAAATGTCACTGTGTGCGCTGTGTGCTCTGCATGTGTGACCATTAAAGAGGGTTTCATCCCTCCCAATTCTTCTCACATCTGAAGTATTGCTGCTGAAAATATCTTCTCATGTGATTTTCTGAAGACTGGACACTTGATCTCTAACAGTTCCTCATTGTTTAACACTATATCAGAGTTTTGCAGACAACCATGGCTCTTGGTCAATGTTGTTCCAAAAAATTTCAATCAAAGTTTAAGAAAAATAAATAGAGGGAAATCCCAATCTCTGCAAATAAGCAAGTATTTGAAGACATTTAGAAACAAAGGATCAGACAAAAAACATTATAGTAATTATGAATATTAGATGATACCAATTTCATAAAAAGTATTCTAGGTCAATAAAATACAACACATAATGTGTTTTTATTGGCTTCTTATTCATAAGGCTACATATTGCAGTCCCACTTTCAAAATGCAATTATTTGTAGAAATTAACAAAACTTGGTTTTGAGTCAGTCCATTTTCCAATAAATAAAATTGTCTTTTTAAAGACTATAAATAATATTAAAATAATAATATATTATTTTCTTTTTATCACATCACCTTAAAAACCTAAAGCAATGTATTTATCCTTGAAATGTTATAGTTTGACCCGTTTTCCTTCTTAATAAAGTTGATCATTGTATACATTCAATGATATAAGAAATAACAATACTATAGTTATAGCAATAACAGTTAATAAACGCTTTATAAAATCTCCAAATAGATTAAAAATATAGTCTAATACAGATTCATTGTAAATCAATCATATCCATTATTTGTCTTTTGTTTGTTTGTTTTATTTGTTTCCTTGCATAAATCGAGATTGTTGATGAACAAAACGATGTAATCCATATTTCACCATGTGTTATTCAGCTGCTCAGAAAAGGCGGAGATGACCTCAATTTCCCAGCGTACTATGCGGCCGACAGGGAAATGGATGGGGGCGTAAACCAAAGTTACCCTTTAACCTTTCCAAACAGTCCAATCAGAGCGAGAGTTACCCAGGAAGTAGTACACTATCTTTTGACTGACAATGAGCGTTGACGAATAAGAGTACGGAAACGGCTTCAGCGGACCAATCACAGATGAGGTAGGCGGTGCTCCTATCCAACAGGGCATCGGAGGAGGAGGTGTTCCTGGTAGCCATCTTGGATGTGCGGAGTGATTGTTTAGCGAGAAGATTTTATTTTATTTAGAAAAATAGCCTTTGTACTGAAACGTGGTAGATTTAACGGAGTTGGAAAACCGAGGAAAGAAATCGTAACTCGGGAAAATCCAGGTAAATTCGTCTCAGACTCAAAGATGATGCATTTATGTGCCTCCCCCTCCTTTCTCTCTTTGCCTCTCTCCCCTCTCCAAATTGTGTCTCCCACATCAGAAAGCTGCAGCCGGTTGGAAGCTGCAGCTCTTCATACTGACAACACATCACCAACTTGTGTGTTTGCGGTTATAAAAACAGAAAAAGCACAACTTCCTCTGCTGAGCCGTGGTGTGTAAACTTTAGTTTGTTTCCAAGTGTGTGTGCTTGGATGTTGGAGCCAACACAGGCTGCTGGTGTCACTAATGATGCCCGCATTGTTTATAAACCGCCCGGGCTAACAAATGTTTGTCCCTCGGTCCGAGAACACGGCTCGGTTGTTCGGCTAGCTAGCACGGACACCAATTTTGTTTTAAGATTTGTCTAAAAAATGCCCATACCGTAAAACTGCCCTCAGATGATTTAAAACTAAATTGGCAAGTATGAGCGTGTGTTAGCAGGACGCAGGGCCTGTGTCCAGATGTGTGCACCTGTTTGGAAAAGTAATGCTAAAGCTAATTTATACTTTAGTGGTGTCTGTTGGAGTCACAATAATACAACTATAATTATGTTACTGAACTAGCATATGCAAATTAGCCCTGTGTAAAACAACTTCACATTTTATAGTCCATTTCAAATGTAAATTATATTTTAACTTGCCCTTTGTGTCTTCAGGTTTGTTTTTTATCATTGATACATTTACCGAGTATTTTCTAGATTAATCGATCACTCGCTTGGTCTAAACATGCCCATCTAAATCCAAGGTGAAGTACTAGTTTTGTTAGTCCAGTAAAATTAGGTTTAACATTATATAAACCCGAGAAAATAACAACATCTCTATGTTAAAATGGTAAGGAAAACAGCAATTTCTGTTATATTTGCAATAAAAACAATATTATGGTTTAAATAAGCATTTAAATCTGATTCTGACCTGGCTTTGAAATCAAAAATGTAAAGTAAGAAATTCATAGTGAGATACATTCCCTTATTATATATTGTAGTATTATTGATATAAATCATGTTTATGTCATTATCACATAGGGGTGAGTTATATGATTTTTTCCCTATTTATATATGGACATTTTGGGCACCTTTTTTCAGCTTTAGAGGAGTGACATGATTTAAAATAGCATAAACAAAAGTTCAAGGTCAGACTTGAACCGGGGACATGCTCAGGATACGTTAAAATGATCAAAATAAGTGTGTAAGCTTACCAATGATATCTATTCTACATGGCGATACATACAAGAACATGCAAGGACTACTGAGAACAGAGAATATAATTCATTGTTGCAAGCTTTTTTTAGTCTTAAACCATACTGCCTTTCTGTCTTGTTAATGCAACCACATTGAACAATGATATTAAACTAAAGCACAACTCCTTCAAGAACCCTTAAGAGTACCCAGGCCACATGTCTGCCTGCATGTAGGAGTAGCTACTTATTATTCTGTTGCACAATGAACTGAAGCTATTAAGACTTAAATGGTTGAATTAAAGCTAAATGAAGACAGTGATTCCATGTGAAGAGAGACTTTAAGCTTCACTTGTGCATTTATCAAGTACAGTCTGAAAACCTGCTGACTCTCAACTATATAATGAAGAAAGTATTTCTATGTAATGTACTCTGTCATACGTTTCCTACATGCAATTGTATTTATTGGTCCGGCCCATCCCTTCAAATCTGCTGTGAGAATGTATTTGTTCATAACAACTTTACAGCCAAGTGATGCATTCAATGCAACAAGCTCCAACTGTGTTCTGGTGTTGTCTACAAACATTTAAGTAAAAAGCAGAACATCACAATGTATCCAAACGACTATGAAAGTGTCCCAGGTAGGATGGTTCATTCAGTTACAGGTAATTCCTCTTGGGTTGTTTTGGAGTATAAAGGTCAATGTTGGTGTCAGAGCGGCACCTCCATCATCAGGGATTCAGTGCGTTGCCCAAAGACACTTCAGCGCAGCTAACTCTAAAAGATATCCCTTTGTGTCTCCCACTTCTCATCTCTACCTAATCTCTGTCTGTCATTGTAAAGGTTTCATTGGTGCATATCATTTCATATTATTGATGTTAATGATCAAAGGTTTAATGAAAACAATAAATACCTTAACCATTTTCCCTCTGTGTTTTCTGCAGTAAAAGAAGGCATGAAGACATCATCCTAGTCATCAGTCATGGCCGATAAAAGGAAACTACAAGGTGAGGGTTCCATCCCAGCAAACGACTCAACTGATGACAACTAGGAATTGTTGAGTTCTGATTACGTCTCAGGCTGGTTTACCACAAAGGAAACCGTTTACCGTCAGTGTCACTACAAAATAATAACAGCGTCTGTGATCGGAAGGTCCCCTTATGGCATCTTATGTAAGGGATCATGTACAGCGAGCCGGAATGATTTGAAAAAAACCGTTGATAGGGGGACCTGTATCCCAACCGCTTATTACACGGCTACCTACTAAACAAATCAACCACTTGACTCACTATATATACATTTGAAAGGATTTTATTGTTTAAAAAACCCTGCAAATACAACACGGTTGGTTGTACTTCGTAGCAACGGTAAGAACTGAGCAACAGGAGCATCTAAACCGCAGCAGTACTGATCCAGGTTTTCTGCCCACTAACTGTCCAAGACTGTTCACATTTATCTTCCATTACCAGTCGTTTAACAATGTAATGCTGCGTTCACACGGGACGCGATGCGAATATTCGCTTCGCATTCCAGTCGCTCAAGTTTCACCGCGGCTTTCAGTTTGTTTTATCGCGTCATTCAAAACAAACATACCGTTGACAGCCACAACGATCATCTCTTCCATCTTTACAACTGATCAACAGCGGGACGTCAGAGGGAATCCCAACGCTGATTGGCTTCCGCGAGAACGCGTCACGTGAATTTGACGCTCGAGTTGAAAAAATTGAACTCTCGTGTTTGACGCGGCACTGTTCAACCGCGTGATTCGCGCCGCGTCCACCGCTTCATGCTCGCCGTCAGAGCGAATTTGCGTCTGTCCGCGTCTCTGCATTGACTTTACATGTAATCGCGCCGCCCCCATCGCATTGCGTCCGGTGTGAACGCAGCATAAGAGCCCTTACCGTGTTCCATTTAGTGTTCACTTCCTGTCTTTTTTCTTCTGCAGATTTCTCTCCCCTCCAGCTCTGTGTATTTAACCTCTCTACTTCTCTTGGGAACAGTTCAGCATCACAAAGTGACATTTTTGTGCTCTCTACAATCCTAAACAGACTTATTTCTGCCGGTTCATATGCCTGCACATGGTCCCGTGATCAAAGCGTCCTTAGCAACGGTCTGCTATCGAAATGAGCAGACCACTGAATGTCCAAATGGCCCAATCAGAATCGAGAACTCAACTAAGCCTTGTAATAGCAGAAGTTACAAAAACAAAAGAGTGTAATCAGCCCATTTGATCACACCTACTGCGGCTTCGTATTGCATGTTGTGTGATGTGACCTCAGGAGGAAAAGTGTACTTTTATTATCACACTGCTAGGTTGCATGGCTGGTAAACAAAAGTCAAAAGCGCCAACACTTACTTGTTTAATGAGTCGTGTTATCCTGCCAGGTCGTTTGCTCCAGAGAGTCAGAAATACATCTGGTAAAGCTTAAACATGATGGCTTTAGAAGAGCTCCTTGCTACCCTTTAACCTTTTCAAATAAGAGCAAATGAAGAAAAAATGGAATACGGGCTTCATAATTCATTAGCAATTGGGATATGATTTGCAATTTAAGATGGAATGTTCATTTTTGGAACATTTGAAAACATATTCAAATGAACATAGTGTGGTCTTTAAAATCTATAAATACTCTTTTTTTCATTAGGATCTGTACCAAACAACCTAAAAAAAAGAATGCATGGATTTCCAGTCTTCTCCAGTTAAACATTTTAGGGTTATTTTCGGCAGATGAATTGGGTTGTATTCACTTACCCATTAAATGCACCTCGTTATCCTGGAAGGGGACTCAAACGTGTTAGCGTAGCAGTGGAGCTGACTCACGTGCAACAGTTCACAGGACTCGGATGATAAAGCCCCCTTAGCTTGACTTTCTCACAATAAGCTACAGAACCTGACCCACAGCTTTGTGTAAAGACCTCCAGGCTCTGCTGTCAGACATTTTTTCTTAACTTTGATATTATTTTTATCGGACGTTTGTCGCTCCAGGCTGAAATGCTACTTTTTTGACAGGCCTCATCCCTCCACTGCCAGCGTCACTCATCTCTTCACGTGAGATCCTGTGATGCTCCAACTGTCATGATAAAAACACAACATGTATCTCCACTAAATCATGGAGAAAGATGATCAAGCACCAACTAGGCTCTGTCAAAATGTAATGTATTATTACAGAGGAGGTAGACCTTTATCTAAAAATAACTCACCTGCAGCAGAGTCTTAACATCAAGGCTGTTTAAGGGCAAACTAGAGTTTGTTTGCATAACAGATACCTCATTCACACCAACGGTGTTTCAGGGCCGGTTCGGAGCTGGAGCTTAAAAAGCACCGGGTTTTCCTCTTCACACCGCAGCGGAGCAGCCTCTTAGCTCCGGAATCCAGTTCGTTTCAAGCACCAAAAAATTGTCCGGCCAGAGCAAAAGCACCGCATACGTCACGCTAACGTTGAGGCGGGGGCAGGGGGAGAGACACATCCATGGCAGAGACAGATCAACTCCTGAACAACAACAAAAAGCCCGCGTTTTATCCAGTTTGTACAACGATGGAGAAACTTAACAAGAGTTTCAGAGTTTCTGCCATAGACTGTATACATAAAGGTTTCTGCTCATGGTGAAGCAACGTGTCTGCGTGTTAAGGTGGAACCTGAGCATTCACGTTGATCACCTCTCATTATAACTCATTATAAATCTATAAAACTATAAATATTAAACTTTACTTCACGTGTTCATTTGAGAACAGCTATTACCTGGGTGAAGGTTACAGTTCATTTGTTACTCCACACTCATGGTTCAGTCCACCTTAAGAAATAAGACCGACCTCGGAAGCAGTTGTGTTTTTAAAAAAACCTTAATTGACACGAGTACACTTTTATAAGAATATAACTAAACCACAGAAATGACTCCGGAAAAGCTGCAGATAGAGCCATAAGAAATGAATGCAACTGATTTCATCCGCACGGTTTGTCTTCATGAAGCAGGCACGCAAACGGGTACGTCATGACGCAAACGATGACGCAACGACGCATTACCAGTCGGACTCTGGGCGGTGTGAAAAGAGCCGGAGCTAAACCGAAGAACCGGTTCTGAACCTAAAAAGCTCTAGCACGGAGCTTGAACCGGAGTTGCGTTGGTGTGAATGAGGTATAAGTCTGTTCTTCACTAGCCCAGCAGCTGCATTCAAGTCACGCCAATTGGTCAAATAACAATCAGAACAACACAAATACAATAGCAGCAGTATTGAGAGGCTACATCTATGGTGTTACGAGTTAGTACGTTAGTCAGTGTCTTGAAAAAGGAACTTATTATCCAACATGGTTTTAACAACAATTATACATTACCTTACATTTAGCTGACGCTTTTATCCAAAGCGACTTACAATAAGTACATTCGACCAGGAAGACACAAACTTGAAGAAAACAGAATCATATAAGTACATCAGGTTTCATAGAGCCAAACATTTCAAGTGCTACTCAGCTGGCTTTAGATAAGCCAGTCCTTTATTAGTATATAAGTGCTTTGTTAATAGTTCTATCGCTCGAAGTGGAGTCGAAAGAGATGAGTTTTCAGTCTGCGCAGGAAGGTGTGTAAGCTATCTGCTGTCCTGATGTCAATGGGGAGCTCATTCCACCATGTTGGAGCCAGGATAGCAAACCCACGTGTTTTTGCTGATGGGAACACACGTCGGTTTGCTATCCTTATTATTATACACAGATTTATGATGACAGAAATTCCTCATTTTAATCGGTCAGATTTCCATCACAAAGCGTGATCACCATCACATAATGTACCCTCTTACTGTGAAGCCAGAAAACAATATTTCTGTTAGTCAAAAGCTGTAGAATGACTCGCCATCAGTTGTTAGTAGAGGGAGGTCCTATTAGCATTATTAGGTGCTCAAGATGTACAGAAAATGTATTGGGTGAAGGTATTGTGATGTAATCAAGGTTTGTTCAAATGTTTTCTTGTATGAATCTCATGTTTTAAGGAGATATTTTCGCAACAATATATAGTCGATACTAGAGACGTAACAATGACCTACTGCCTAAGAGCAAACAGTATGCACATGGTTATTAAGGCATTGAAGTAAATGTAAAGAATTGTTCTGTTTTTGGGTTATACCATGGTTTGGATTCTGGTACCGAGTATCTCTCTACATTTGAGTTTTCTGGACATCCTACTTCATTGGGGGCAAATTCAACATTTCGGGACTAACTTGGCATTTAAATAATTGAAACTAAAATAACAAACATCTCGAATGAATGCAAACGGCATCCTCCGTGACGATGCTACAGTTGAATCCCCCCCCTCTCTGAAACAAACTCCACATTAAAACCTTCATGAAGGATTTATGGCAGGGCTGCTGTATTAGACTGCATTAGTTTGAGCCTGCTAATAAAGCGGGTTCTGCTGAACAGGAGATGTGTTTGTGTGTTCCCTCTCGCTTACAAGCATGATGTTCCTTTTAAGATATGCATGTTTCATGAGGATGTCAAACACAATTTGTAAATGCTCTGCTAATGTGGAGAGTTTGTTGTTTGTGTATGGGTTATATAAAACAGGAGTGGCCTGGTTCGGAAACATTTCCCTAGATTACTTTACCATAAAAATGTAATTACTTACTAAATGTAATTGAGTTTTTATACCTCCTTGCCAATAAGGGGTTGTTTTGGGTTGTCCATCCCAACTAGATGTAACATTCTCTTGAACTTGATTTCCCAGAAAGGTTATATTGAGATTTCTTCTAATTTGGCACAAACGTCCATTTGGAGTCAAGGATAAACCAAATGGGTAAGAGGTCAAGGTCGCTGTGACCTTAGGTCTGGCCAATTTTTCTGACCGTGATTTCTCAGCAGCGAGCGACTAGCACACATTTCTTCTAATTTGAGGAGCATCCTTGGACTCTAGGATTAGATTCTAGTGTACAAACGTCACTGTATGTTTTTGCCATAACATAAAAATGCATGAGCTAATTATGATCATTTGTACATCATAAAATCTGCTTCTTGATACTCGCCGTGTGTTTGAAGTTTCTATACTCACTCCCTATTCCCGTCTGTTATTCTGCTCTTCTCTTCTCTTCTCCTGCAGGTGAAATAGATCGATGTCTGAAAAAAGTAGCGGAAGGAGTCGAACAGTTTGAAGACATTTGGCAAAAGGTAAGGAAGCATCATTCTTCAGACTTAAAAATTGATTCATATATTTTCTATTGATTGTTAAGATTGTAAGAGAAAATATTTTTTTGAATAATGAAAATTGAGCAGAATTATTTCCCATTGCTCGTCAAAAATGTCTGAAAGATATCTGGAACCGGAAGTCTTTAAAATATAAGATAATCGTGGGAAATGTTTTAAAGACTTGGTTAACCAGCATGATTCCACATTGGAGAAGCTGGAGCCAGAGGATATTGGCATAATGATTGATTAACAAAACTGTTATTGATTAAATGTGTGCCAATCAACAACATTTTTGAACCCTTATTGTCTGTATGTTTGTTAAGCTCAGGGAATACAACCCTTGTCATTTCATCTGTGGATTGTACATTTATTTCATTTATTAAGGGCAAGATTTGGAGAAGTGAAGGACATCTATCCAAAGTAAATGTTTTTTTTGAAAATAAAAAAATGTCTGTTTTTGAAATTGTTTGTTTTTGCTGCATTAATTGACTCTATTTCCTCATCTACTTCTGAGTTTAATTTCTCTCACCATTGTTGTTGGCTAAGACCAAGGCTGCTACAGTCACAGTAGTTACAATAATCCTACCACCACCACACCAGGGTGCACATTTCTGCTGATACTGACTATAATCTGAGCTGTTATTAAAGCAGCAGCACAGAGGCACACACTGTAAATCTGCTCTGCTAATGAAGAGGCACAATGCGTTGGTGTTTTATATCCCAGTTGCCCTTTTTCCTTCATTATATCCTGTATTTATTGTGCAGCTGTGTTTGTATTTTGCAGTCTTTCGCTAATCACTACAAAGCTAATTGAGTCATAGCGGCTTGTCTTACCCCCAATGTTGTATTTTTATGACTTGTATTGATTTAATAGCTTATTTTATTATACAATTGGTGTGATGTTTATCTTTTTTCTTTAATTAATAGTCACTGTTGCAACCAAGTTAATTTCCCTGCACAGATCAATAGAGTTATGATGACATTAATTGATAGCACAAAGCTAAAGTAAACAACAGAATTGAAAAGTACTTGATTGGCAGACTGATTAGAGTTGTGTCATTATTAATATTTACAGAATATATGAATAAACAAGGACAATAACTGTTTTGTTTATGCACGAGTACTTGTCTGACCCTCCGGTTTGTTTTCCTCCTCAGCTTCACAATGCGGCGAACGCAAATCAGAAGGAGAAATATGAAGCAGACCTCAAGAAAGAGATTAAAAAGCTACAGGTAAAGGCAGAGAGAAAAACACTTCTTCTCCCACAAAATGACCCGTTTCATTTCCTTTTCTTCTGCATGGCTCCACGGTGAATGAAGAATGAAAAAAAGAGAAAGGTCTTCATGAATTTAAGTAAATTGAGCTACGTTTAACAAAAGCAAAACAATATCGAAACATTTCCTAGCGAACTCGCACAACTCATGCAGAATATTCCACGTGTATTTTGGACTCATCCAGGTGAGAAGCCCGCCTTTTCAAGTGTGAGACTATTTCTTTAGAAATGTATTGTATAGTAAAGTTTTAGGAGATGCATGTGTTTGGGAAGTAGTGAGCACTCGGCACCACTGGATTACTGAGACTTCTTTTGAGTTGTCATTTTGATGCGGTATCCATTTATTGAAATCATCAAGACCTTTCTCTATTTATGATTCTTCATTCACCCTTTAAGAAAACATGCCATACAGAAATTGAGATTAAACAACGTGACCATTTTGTGGGTTAAGAATACCATTAAACCAATTACCAAAATAGATGATTTAATTTCTTTTTTATCCAATACTCACTTTATATTTTCCACCATTTTCATTGGATATCCAGATAAAGATAACACCAGGTGTTTGAGGTTTCTTTCAGCCAGAATGAGCAGGTTGAGGTCTGGTGTGTGTCCAGCGTTCACCATGGAATTGGAAAAAAATCCAATTTGTTTGCTGATATCGATTTTTGACCTGCCCCCACATAGAGGTGTGTGTGCGTGCTGCTAGAGTCAAGGATTAAATATCATCATGGTCAGCCAGAGGGTTACCATGAGGACCAAACTCCAAGCCAAGCATGTTTGCAGCGTGTAGACACCAAGTTCACCGTCCGTGACTGCTGAGGACGAGTCTCTGCATGTATTCACTCGTGTACCTGTCTCTCTCTCCGTCTCCCCCCCTGCTGTGTTCCTCTCCCTCTTCTCCTTCTTCTTCTGCCCCCCTAGCGTCTTCGAGACCAGATCAAGACGTGGGTGGCTTCCAACGAGATCAAAGACAAAAGGCAGCTAGTAGAGAACCGCAAACTCATAGAAACGGTGAGTAGGACACAGTATGTTTATTATCACACTCCCTCCATGAGCCATGGAGACTGAACTAAAAAAAAAGCTGGATTTGACATTCTCCAGGTCATATAAACGATTAGGAATGAGTGATATCCTATCCAGGACAATTACAAGAACTCTTTCATTGATCAGCCTTTTGTTTACCAGTTTACCAAAAATATATTAGCCAATATAATATGAAGTGTGTTATACAGGTTCCTGATATGTTTGTTTTATTGTAAAATTCATCGACCAAAAATGTTGTTTTTGAAGTTTTAAAGTTCAGTCTGGACCTTGGAAACAGCAAAGTTGTTCCAGTTTCACTGCAATGTTTTACCTGTGCAGTATTTTGACCTGATCTCCATATCTGTTTACTTTGGTATATGAATGCAGAATGTTGGTACATTTTGGTATGAGAAGAGTTTTAGTTTCCATTTGAGGTCCTTTTAGTTTGAGTGGGCTCTGTCTGAATGCATTTTTCCACCTGGAAAGGAAAAGAAGCCAGACACATTTGCCAAAATGCAATCTATGAACTCATTGGCTATCATCTAATGACAATTTGCCTTTTTGTAGTTACATGTATCTGCATTCATATGCAGATACAGGGTTTTGTCTAAACCAGGTAACAGGGGCGCTTCGCCTTCTTACTTTCGGCATGAGCCCTCATACCAAAGTGCAGATTTTCCCCGTAACATTTTAAAATTATGCCAGAAAACCATATTTCTGTTCGCAAAAAACATTAAAATTACCGACAGACGACATAGACAGCTTTGTTTTTACGGAGCTCAGACGTCGCGTTGTAGTTTATGTCCGCGGCGCCATCTTGTATACGGGCGCCATGTTCTCACCATAATTGATATATCTTATATACAAGGTCAGCATCCTCCTTATTTTTCTAGAAAACCCTCTAGAATGAGAATTCAACATACAGCCATAACTGGACTTTAAATAATGAGCAGCGCATGGTAGAGGAAGTCTTAGCTTTGGTCTTTTTAGCAAACAATAATATCATGCTATATTATATTTCTCAATGACACTTTGTGTTCTCAGTTTGTTGTGAAGAATAGAGTGGTGCAGTGACGAGTCCTAAAACCCGGAAGTGAGTTAGCATTTTACCACTACCGGTTCCCTCGTCTCAAAGTCAACGGGATTTCTCCATAGCATTTTGGAAAATAGCTGGAAATAAAGTCTGTGTTTGACACAAATGTAAGAGACGGATCACGTTTTGTTCTACGACATTAAATCCATCAGCAGTGACCCCACTGGTGATTTTTGAAGAGTTTACGTGTCTGAAAAACGATGGTTGTTAACAAGTGGCTGAATAGGACTACAGAAGTCGTCGAGGACGTTGTACGTCATTACGCCAAACACGTAAACACTCCGGCTAAGTTTGTTTGCCCTGTTCTGCTTGAAAGCAAGTACCTGCCTCCGGCAAACTGTTAAAACAAACGCTTCAACTTATACAATTTACAATCTGTATTTTTGAATATGGATCTTAAGTTAGCGGGACGTTGAAGTCGTGCGACCCTGCTGTACTCGGCTGTAGTTCGTTTATAGCACAACGTTAGCATTTTGCTTCTGGCGATTAGATTTATGATTGGAAAATGAAAAGTAGGGTAGACATGGGGATATTATCCGGCTGAACATTTATCAAACAGGTTCGTTTTCCACAGATCTTATTTCGAGCTATTTTACCAAATCCTATGGAGAAATCCCATTGCTTTTTTGTCGAGGGAACCCACGCGCAGCTTACTTCCGGGTAAATACGTCATCCCTGCACCACTCTATTGTCTTCAGGAAGAAAGAGTCAGTAGTTTTATTCTCCATTGAGAAACTGCATTCAACTTCTGTTAAATCTGTCAAAAGTAATTTTCACAGCTAAAATATAAAATACATCCATTGGAATGTTTTAAATCACTTCTACAATACATTTCCCAATAGGCTCCAAATAACCCTATATTCTATAGTAATCCTATAAAGTAGTTCCTATTATAGTCACATTTTTTATGTTCACATCTATGGTCCTTAGATAAAAGCTTCCCCTACAACTCGCACTAAAGCAAATTCATGAATTCTACATATTGTGGGTTTTAAAATGAGAAAAAGGGATTGTACGGTAAATCTTCAGTATATCATGTATAATAAAATTAATCATCAGTAAATCATCCCTGGCTTTGATCCAGAGCTTTTCTTTACTTTTGTTTTGACTTTTTATCATCAAGGACTGAAGATGTTGCCAAAATAATTTCTCAGAAAGCCTTTAAAGAAAGACCTGCACACAGGAGAGGCTCATTGCAGCATTCTTCACAGAGAGCTGGTGAACATGGCAGCAGGTCCGATACTGAACACCTGTTCTTTAGCGTAGCTCCCCCCCACGAGCCCTGATGAGGGTTATTGAGTGGCCTGAATGTGAGCCACCTGCCCTCACAATGAGAGACGCAGCTCCTCGCCAGCTCCCTCTGAACTCCATGAGTTGGTTTTCATCCCAAAGCCGCTCTTCAGGACTTCCTGTGGTTTAGTCGGTCGATCTGAAATGACACGTCTTGCAGGAAGCAGCCGGGGTTTGCTCCAAACATTTTGTCATGACACGGAAAAAGGAACATCAGACTGTACTACACATAGATACAGATGTACAGAATAACTATTACATTTAGAGTTGTCCTAAGGGTCTTCTTAATGAAAGACTAGGGGGGGTTTTCTTCCTTATTTTCCCAAGTTTTAGTGTTTACATTTTTTGCAATTGGTCCAATTTCAGTGAGAGCGCTGCAATGCAATACTATCGGGCAATTCCCCGTCGTTAATATCGGTCCACTAAAAGTTCTTGTTTTTTCCACTGACGCTAAAGTGTTTGACAACATTAGGAAAGGGGCCCTACAGAGACACCACCAGCACACTTCTCCAACTCTCACTCATGTTCTGTTGTCTTCCGGCAACATTTCAGAATAAGACTTCTTCTTCTCGAGCAAAAACTGGTTAGGCACCAAACTTTGTATTTGTCTTTAGGGTGCTTTCGTTAAGTTGTCAGAATATCGCAAGAACAATCTGAGCCTTTCAGCGTCGAAAAACTCAGGGTTCAGGTTTAAGGGTGCAGAAGTTCCACTTTAAGTCCTCAGGCCATCAGTTTTTATTGATTTTAATCACTGGCTTCACTAGCTATTCTATTAGCTCCTATTGTGCCACTTCCATTCATTATTGCTGATCTCTCCAAATGAAAAGCTTTATCTTAGCTAAGATTATTAAAACGACAGATACTTTTATAAAAATGAGATATTTCCTATATTTGTGGCTGTAAAGCTCAATATAAAGTAGATTTCTCTTCATATTCCTTATTCTTGTAGTATCAAAAGATCTGCTGTGACCTTTTCTGCTTCTAGATTTTAATGACTGTTTTCATTTGTATGTAATCCATTTGTATTAACAAGTACAGCAGTTTTCAATCATGATTTGTGTGTCTTTTTGTCTCCGTTTGTGTCTGCCTGCAGCAAATGGAGCGGTTCAAAATAGTGGAGAGAGAAACCAAGACAAAGGCGTACTCTAAAGAAGGGCTGGGTCTGGCCCAGAAGGTGGACCCCGCCCAGAAGGAGAAGGAGGAGGTTGGCACGTGGCTAACGGTGAGGATAGAATAGAATCCTTTATTGTCATTATACAGGTACAATGAGATAGTAGAACTGGACCTCAATGTACCCACTTTAATGCAACTAAATGACACTGTATCCTTCAAAGAGGAGAGGTGACTTCACTCCTAACTGGTGCTGTTTTTTTTTAACAAAACCTGGAACTGAAAGTAAAATAAAAGTGGAAAATAGGCAAAACACTGTCTTAACTTTCACAAAGACTGAAAACCGTATTAACCAGCAGCCTCTTGCATGAATACATGGCAGCTGTTAATGGTTCCTAATAAGAGTTAACTCATTTTAAACCATGGAGAGGTATTAGGACATACCGTAATGTGAAGGGAGAGTTACTCATTTATAGCGTAAATATGTTTTTCTACATTTTTAAAGTCCAAACATTGAATTGATAAACCCATAAAACAAATAGACAGAAAGAAAAGAATGTCTGAAAATAATTGTTCTTTAAATTGATACTTATTTATATAATTATGATTTGTGTATCTTAAGCTGCTAATGAATGGTTGAACAATTTGAATGATAAACCAATTAAGCGCCTTGTCCTACCATTCATTATCTCTTGCTCCTGTTCTCCTCCAGAATACGATAGACACGCTGAACATGCAGGTGGACCAGTTCGAGAGCGAGGTGGAGTCCCTCTCAGTCCAGACCAGGAAAAAGAAAGGAGACAAAGAGGTGGGTCCTTCCTCCGCCTCTGATCCCTTTATCATCCATCTTCTTTTTCTGTGTATAGCTGACCCAGGTACAGTCAGTCACACCTCTCTCCTCTGTTATCCCTCTGTGCTGGGGAGGTCACACAATGTGTCCTTCTTTCACTTTCGCTCTCCGGGGGCCTCGTTTATAGCAAAACTGATCTGGCTTTATAATGGACGACAGGGCATTTGAAGAGCGGCACTCGTACGTCCTACCTGCAGTGACACAAAGATTGTTACGTCATTTAAATGATTCTTTATGGCATCAAATTACATTCTCTGTAATTGGCAAAGGACTTTTTGTTACATAAAGGAGACCCAGAGGGGTTCATGCCTCTGTTACTGGTATAGTTAGCTATATCTTCAAATACTGATATGGGTTTCTGGTTTTACACACAGGCTCTAAAATGAGACCAATAAGGGCGAAAGAAAAGGAAAAAGTTACATTTATCTTTTCATGAATGCTTTTCTCAAAGTCTTTTTCTTTGATCTGGCGTTGAGGATGAAGCATGCAGAAGGACATATACAGGGACTCCACATCTACACCTTTTCAACCTCCATCTTATTTGAGTGCCCGCATTACTTAAAAGGGTAGTTCACATAGTTTGAAGTGGTGTTGTATGAGGTCACTATACTTAGTCTTAGGTTTGGAAGGCTAATTTGGAAAGGTAAAATGAGTTGCAGCACATTGCGTTCTTCTGTGCACAGGGGCAGAAGCTGACCATCTTTTAAGCCACCTAAAATGATATATTAACTGATGTGTCTTTACCATTTCATATATCTGATCTCTCTTCAAAGCAACCAGACTCCATTGAGACAAAGCAGTTATTTTGGCTTGCAGGAGCAGCATTCGATCAGTTTGTTTGTCTTCTTGTGTGACCTTGGTGTATTAACGGATTAGTTCTGTTTGGCAAAAGTCACACCATAACAACCTCTATCCAATGATTCAATCACAGTTCTTTCAATGGAGTCTGGTTGCTTTGAAGAGAGCCTGACAACTAGGGATGGGTATCATTAAGATTTGAACGGCACCACTACTTTTAGCTTTGATTAAGGCAGTCGAGATCTCCGCATGTCTCCGTCTGAATATGGAGCACTTTCACCGGATCTTTGAAAACACCTAACAACTGTTGGTCCCTTTCAGAAAGGGGAGTTAGAGCTGTGTTATTTTAAATAAAAGTACAAATATAGATTTTAAACGTTTGGTGGCAACTTGGTTGTGCTGACCTCTACCTACTGTAGAGTACTGTGTTATACAACCCCACTGCAGAACATCCCTTTAATGTTGGACCCGCTGTGACATTGGGACTTTAGACGTAGCCTTTTAGAGCCCGCATGTATGCACTCAGCACAGAGACGTCCCCATGTCCCTGACATGTGCTGAGGCAGCATTCATATATATTATGTTGAAACGCATGAATCTGTTCCACTCTGCTGCCTCCACTAATGCAGTCCAGCTGCAGCCCAACAGCGTAAAGTGCTGGAGCCGCTGTGTTACTATAATCACATCAGTTCAGCCAGTGACCATAAGAGCTCCACGTGTTCCTGTTCTTTCGGTCTCATCCCACAGAAACACCCAGATAGTGTTTTAGATTTGTTAAAAAAACTCACATTAAAAACCACAAGTAGAGAAAAAGGCTAAACTTAATACAGAACACTTGTCAAAAAGCTTTCGGTAATGTGTGAATGAACTATTGAAATCAGAAGTGGTGCTGTGATTATTTGTCTATTTCATGATGCATAAAGTGAACATGTAACCGCTGAACCTTTCACATGTTTCCTCTCTTCTGTGTGTTCACCTTTCAATTGTAAACATGTTTCTTTAAATGTCTTTTTCAAAGAATAATTGAGTGTTATGTTTGTGCTTCATATTAGAATAAGCCGGTGTATATCCCTGGCATGAGCATTTTTATTTCAAATATCAAAGTGATATAATTCATTGTTATCTGGATATAAAGCCATTTGAATCAACAAATAATACATTTCAACAATGAGACCCACCGTGTTGACTTTCTTATGCTGTGAGAATAAAATACTGCAGACGTTTTGGTATCATATTAACACCTTTTCGCGCCCCCCCCCCCCCCGTCCTGTGCAGAATCAGGACCGGATTGAGGAGCTGAAGAAGTTCATCGAAAAGCATCGTCACCACATCCGGATGCTGGAGACCATACTGAGGATGCTGGACAACGACTCAGTGCAGGTGGACTCCGTCAGGAAGATCAAGGTGCGCTCATGTCTTCATAAAACAAAGTATCCCAAATATTTGTTGTTTTTGAAATTGTAGGTACAGCTTATTTCATGTTTTCCTTGTTAAAACTGCACACAATGTTCTTTTCAGAGCATTGTCATCATTCATAATATTTCTAATGACAGCCTGACTGAGCCATGTAATTCATATTTGTATTTGTCCTGTCTTTATAAAGGATGATGTGGAGTATTACCTGGACTCGTCGCAGGATCCGGACTTCGAGGAGAACGAGTTTCTCTACGACGACCTGGACCTGGACGAGCTCAGTAAGCCCAGAAAGAGCTGGAGTTTAGTAGCAGTGTCTTTGTGTGCGGCAAGCAGGAGAGAAACTCGTTTTTTGACCGCAGTGGAAATCATTTATGGAAGGGTAGTCTCTGAAAAATATAGATTTACATTACATTTCATTTAGCTGACGATTTTATCCAAAACGACTTACAATTACAGGGACATTCTCCCTGGAGTAACTAAGGGCTAAGTGCCTTACTCAAGGGCACACTAATGGGCGGGATTTGAACTCACAACCTTCCGATCTTCAGCCCACCTCACTATCCATTAGACCACCACTACCCCTACTATTTAACAGAATATTATGTTGTGCAAGCTGTTTTTCAATACATTTTAACTTCTGATCTTCTGCGCTGGAGTGGACTCACACAAGTCAGAAACACCCACTTGAATCTTATTACCAGTATAATAAAAAAGAATAATGTTAGTGAAGGCTACTCTTAGACATATTGACAATGGAACAGGCTGTATTGCCCCTTTTTGTTTTTAAATGTTCCTCTTCATTATCCTTAACCTTAATGGGAAAACACTAACCTCACTAACCGTTATAAAACTGATCATGCTGTTTACCCCCCCCTGTGTCTGTGTCTCCTGCAGCTCAGACGCTGGTCGCCACCTCCCCACCCGGACAGCTGGAGGACGAGATCTTCCAGCACTCCAGCAGCACCCCCACCTCCACCACCTCCTCTTCACCCATCCCCCCCTCGCCTGCCACTTGCACTACGGTAAAAATAATCCTCTTGCTGTCAGCACGTCAATTGTCTTTTTTCGCACCTTTGAAATCCATAGAATTGTGTTAAATGTGACATTACCAATCAAAGGAGTTTGTATTAATTTGAATACAAGGGTTCTAAAGGTTTGAACATTTTAATATAAAGTGTTATTAACTGCTTGAAATGAAGATTATGTAGCCAATTTACAAACAGAGGACATATTATGCATCCAAATATAGAGGAAACCCACTTTGTTTTGTTTTCCTTTTAAATGTGTCACCCTCCTAAATAATGCTGTCATGAATCAGAATTGTATTGAAAGCACACTAACATCTTCTTTACTGTGACAAAGAAGTGCAATCATCAGTATACTGTATGTACTTGATGAACCATAGCGGTAAAGTGCTGGAAAAGCTTGAAATTCATCTTGAAATGTTTGAAAAAAGTGCTTGAATATGACTTCGTTCTTACTTTGGAATTCAAACTTTCTCAAATATTGGAATTTGCTACTTTTATTCCTCAATAAATATGAGTCGCTCAAACCTGGAGACACTTAAGGCAATAACATTATTTGTTATGCACTCGTCAATTTTGAGAGTTTTTTTGTTTTGTCTTTCAGAATATTGCACACAAAAAATTGACATAAACTATTCATTTTTTTAATTGACTAACTTGGTACATTTGCGTTTGTAAATGTCTCTTTAATACACCAAAAGTAATCAACTGTTGAATAGTCATATCTAGTAAAGGGGCCCTATCTTCCTCATCTTCAGGTCCATATTTGTATTTTCACCCTCTGTCTGAAACCAGAGCTGCTCTGATTGGTTAGCTGGCCGTCTCCGTTTTGATTGGTCAACCACTTAGAGATGTCCCGCCCCTTATCCTATCCAGTACATTGTGTTCGAGTGCTAGCCAACAGAAGTGCTAACTTTAGGATTTTAGTCTTTGCAGACCATTTACATGCACACAAACCTATATAACACACTACAGGAAAGGGAAACCCAAAGGGCATAACAGGGCCCCTTTAATTACACCGTTACCCTCTTTACCTTTACTGTCCTGTATTGAGTGGGATTTAATAATACATATCTAAGGCTAAGTTTGCGAATAGATGTAATGATGTAACATTGGCAATATCTGAACTTTTAACCTATCATTGCTTTCCCTTCTAGTGAAGTCAGGTCAATATGTAAAATTGAAATGTAAGATAATTGCCTTTATATGTGCGCTGCCATCTGCTCTTATTGTTCGGCTCTGCTGTCATTATATCATCTGTTCTTCCTCTGCGCCCACACAGAGCACTGAGAGTACTTATTATAGGGCTGATGTGTCTGAATAAAGGCGTGATAATATTAAATGCTGCTGACATGAAGTTGGCGTGAAATGGATGTAAAGATTCGGTTATAAGCGGTTAACGAGTTCAGCAGGAAATGTGAAGTTCAGTGGGTGTTTAACTTTGAATAATCTGCGGAAAGTATCTGGAAATGTTGGATTTGGATAACCGGCAACCTTTTGGTTAGTATATTGTATTACATTTTTTCTCATTCGTACACCGACTGACCATGACAATGTTGTTCTTCATTTGTGTTTTTCAGGAGAACTCTGAAGATGACAAGAAGAGGGGACGGTCAACAGACAGTGAAGTCGGTCAGGTGAGTCTAAAGACGGTTCATCTCTAAGTGATCATGTCAGCATCTTATCTTTAAATACAGAAAAAGTGTCATGAAGTCATGAACTTCATCAATCCGAGGTTTAATGTCATTTCCTAGTTTTATTTGAATGTAAAGTGAATATTTTAAGTTGTTTTTTTTAACTTTTGTTAGTACAGATTTTAAGAACTCACCTTGGACACACATCAGTTGGGATAGACATGTTCACTTTTTATTAAAACAAAACTAAAGTAATTTCTCTGTAAAATAGTAGTATGCTTGAACTTTTTATGAATTATTAAAATGAATCTTATAAGCTGTCAAGGTAATTACTCCAATATGCGTGCTGCAACTCTAAGAAAAGACTTGTTACTTTAGTTATTTTATTTTATATTCTCTTGTCATATGATATTTTCTTTCACTGAGAGTAGTTATTATTTTATATATATTTGTTGACTTTGCATGTCCAGGTCACATGTTGGTTTAAGGTTGTCTTCATTTTGGATCACTTTGTTGTAAGCCAGTATAAAAGGCCAATCACTAACATAGACTTAGGTGAACAAACTGTGTCTTTTGATTTCCTGTAGAAAAACGTTACAACATGACAAACCTATAAATGTCTTCTTTTCTCTTCTCCAGTCACCTGTGAAGAACGGAAACCCCTCCTCTTCATTATCCTCTTCCTCCTCCTCCTCCTCCTCTTCTTCCTCTTCTTCTTCCTGCTCCTCTTCTTCATTTGTGTCTGGACTGACCTCGTCCTCTCTCGTCTCCATGGCGCCCATCACGGGGGGAGGACCGGGGGCCAACAGTCACCTGGGCAGCTTGGGGGGCCTCCTCTCCAACACGTCGGCCGGCAGCTACAGCAACGCCACCCAGCAGCCGCCGCACCCGTCGGCACAGCAACAGCAGGCCAAAAGCTTAGTGAGCTCCGCCCCTTCAGCTCCCATCTCCATCCCCATCAGCTCTGCCAACAGCCACATGGCCTCTTCTCCCCCCAACGCCATCACGCAGGGGCTCTTCACTTCCAGCTCCCAGGCCCAGTCTCTGTCGGGGCCCACGTCCACCTCCAACAGCCTGGGCCTCAGCCTGGGCCTCTCGCTGGGGAAAGGCGGCATGTCCATCCCCACCAGCTCCATGTCCGGGAGCCTGGGCCTGTCAGGGATGCAGGCGTCCCTGAGCAACATGGCAAGCCTACTGTCGGGTTCCACCCCGGCCCCCTACGCTCAGGCAGCCTCCTCAGGGGCCATCGGCTCCGGCCTGCCCGGCTCTCTGGGTGGCATCGGCATCAGCCCCTCCTCCTCCAACAGCGCAGTGGGCTCCATCGGCAGCGGCAGCATCACGGTCGGCGGGCCAACCTCCTCCTCGGGGGGGCTGCTGGGCCCGGCGCCGGGGCTGAGTGGCATCAGCTCCGGTATTCTGGGTCTGGGCTCCGGGCAGTCGGGGATGCAGGGGTCCTCCCTCATGTCGCTCAGCCCGGTCGGAGGGTTAGCGCCCGGTAGCGGAGTGGGGGTCATCGGGAGCAACGGAGGCAGCTCGGCATCAGCAGGGAGCGGAGTGGTGGGGGGGAACATGTCGCTCTCCGGCAGGCCGCCCAGCCAGCAGAAGCAGAACGGTAGCACCAGTGAGTATTTGAGAATATATCCACACTTACAACAATCTGTTCACACAAGCATTTCAGCTACGTCTAGAAAATATTCTTTGATAAGACTGTGAAAATTGTTATCGAACACCGTGTTTACAGTATCCAATATATTATATTTTAACCTCTGTGTCATAGTACCTTTTGCCAGATTCCTTGTCAATACATAGCCTTACTAAACATGCCTATTATAAACTGAAGCCAGTCAAAACTGAAATGATTTCCTGAGTATTGTATTTGCTAGGCATAAGCCGGTAAAATTGTGTTAAGTGTACATTTCATGACTGTATGATGTATGCTCATGTGCCCTTTCTAACATTTATTTAGGCGGTGTACCCTTTGTGTCTTTTTTTGGCGATACAGGTTACAGCGCTGTGTTAGCAGACAGCACAACAGACTCCGCCCTCACCAGTGCCAGCCAATCTCTCAGCAGCCAACCCTCGTGTCTGACCTCCACAGCCAATCAGACGTGAGTATGATGGAGCAGGTTACCAGACAATTAGGGTTATGGATTATTTTCAACAATCTGGTGTTTCATAGACACAATCACTCTTGTACACTAAATTCAAAATGTGAAATTAAAACAATGATGTCAGCATATTTTCCAGGATTTTAAAATCATCACGATAATCAAAGTTAATATGAATAGCTGGAAATTCATTTGGTAAACCTTAATTTGTCAAACTTCAAGTGATAGGAATCATTTTTGATGTGGTGATTAAGGCTATGACGGTCACAAATTCATATTTTTTCTTAAAATGTCTGAACCCTGTCTAATAAATGTAGCTGACATCTAGGTCAGCGCGATATAAGAAAAACAAATATCCCAATATTTGTTACTATATACTTTGATGTCGATATTGTAGGGTGGACTATTTGCGCTTTTTCTAATTACTTACGCATCCACATTATTTAATAATCAGCGATGTGGATATAGTGATGAGTTGGATAAAGGGAAATAGCAGAACCGTCTAGTTAGTTCCTAGAAACACATCCGTTTACTCAAATGCAGCCATTTAAACCAGGAACAGACACGATATTCAATATGTGTTGTATATTCAAAAAGACAATCTCTAGTCTCACATCGCAATATCGATATATTACCGCTTTATTGCCAAGCTCTACTGACATCCTCAATCCATAAGCATTAACAACTAAACAAGTACATTTTCTTACCTCGCTTACCTTTTTTATTTAGGTATTTTTTATTTAGGTATTTTGTCCCCCCTTCTCACCCCTTCTCTCTTCCTCCCCCTCTCTCCAGTAAGGACACTGGTTCCAGTCTGCTGGGCTCCATCTGTTTGTCGTCCAGTTCCCCGTCGCAGGCCTTCTACAGCGAGGCCAAGACGGTGAGCGGCAGCAGCCTGCTGAACGGACCCATGTCCTACTCACAGTCCTCCGACAGCATCAAGGTGAGAGTCTGACCACACACACTCACTCACTCACACACACTCACACTGGCCCTATTTAAACCTTGTGTTATTATGCGCTTCTCATCTAAATAATCCAAATACAGATTTCATTATAACAGCAGGTGTAAAGGGCGTCACACACATATACAAACACTCATGGGCGTTGCAGCCATTATATTTTTTAAATGATTAGTTTCGACCCCTCCACGTTTACGATATGGAAAGTCCGTGCATCGGTCTATCCACTCGCCCGCTGTGTCAGTTAGGGCTGCTCGATTATGGCGAAAATCATAATCTCGATTATTTGGGTCAATAATTGATATCACGATTATTAAAAACGATTATCCATTTACTTTGAAAACATCCATTTATTGAAAAACTAAAATGTGAACATCCATCCATCCATCCATCTTCTCCCGCTTATCCGTGGTCGGGTCGCGGGGGTAGCAGTTCCAGCAGAGAGCCCCAAACTTTCTTTTCCCTGGCGACATCAACCAGCTCTGACTGGGGGATCCCAAGGCGCTCCCAGGCCAGCGAAGAGATATAATCCCTCCACCTGGTCCTAGGTCTACCCCTTGGTCTCTTCCCAGCTGGACGTATCTGGAACACCTCCCTAGGGAGGCGCCCAGGTGGCATCCTAACTAGGTGCCCGAACCACCTCAACTGGCTCCTTTCGACGCGAAGGAGGAGCGGCTCAACTCCGAGTCCCTCCCTGATGACCGAACTTCTCACCTTATCCCTAAGGGAGACACCAGCCACCCTGCGGAGAAAACCCATCTCGGCCGCTTGTATCCGCGAAAAATGTGAACAGTATGTTTTTAACATTTGATTACCCTGAACTTTAAGTATAATTCAACTGAAAAACCAATAATAAAAATAAAAAAGTAATAACAAAATAATCGTTTTATTTCGATTACGTTGTTTTCGTAATCGTTGAAAGCCATAATCGTAATTGCGATTTAAAATACGATTAATTGAGCAGCCCTAGTGTCAGTGCTTCATTATCAAACCCATTCCACTTTGGGCTTATTGAGAGAATGCCCAAATCAATGGAATTCCGTACCATGTTTTCACTGCTACCTTGTACCAAGGCAGATTCTCAGAGCTGTACACATGCTGCGTTTTTTGTGTAGCTGTGTCTTTAGTTGTAAGCCCAGTAGCGACCTGTTAATCTGTCATATGATAATACAATAAAGCCATCGAAAAGAATAGGATACAGCATTAAAAGTTATTCTGGGTCTTTGTGTGTCATTCAAGCTCGGCTGTGTGTGTGGCACGACGAGCGCATTTTGTGTGAGCGAGCGAGAGAGAGCGCAGGAGAGAACGCAGGAGAGAACGCTAGCGCACATAAGGAGTTGTTTCTACAACAAGGAGGAGGAGAGCTCTCTCCTGTCAGCTCAGGGAAGTAAAGGGCTCTGAGTGTTTAGATAGTTAACTTTAGTCTAAGTCAGCGGTTTTCAAAGTGTGAGGCGCACTTCCTCTGGGGGGCGCCAGAGAGCTTCAGGGGAGGCGCAGCGTGAGAAGAAAATAATGAGAAACAGTGAAATCTAGCTGGTTAACTTCAGCTAACTTTATGCGAGTGGCAACATGGATCGATTTTTTGTGAAGTTACCTAAAGTGAAAGAGGAGACAGCGTCTGGCAGAAAACGTCAGCTTTGTTTTGAAATAAAAGTTGTGGCTCATCGGACATTTATGAGAGAAAATCCCTAATGTCCGAGTGCAAGTGAATGCAGCACAAGACGCGAGCCTTGTAACCCCTCCTCCGGCCCTGGCGCTAGCGAGGAAATGTGATTTGCGGCGATTTCATTTGAACGGGACGGCGCATTCGGACCCCAAGTAGACGGAAGGAATGAGGTCTTTGCGGTCTACAATGACAGAGAAGAGACTGTCAGTTTGGCTGTACTCAGCATTGAATCAAAACGCACTAAAGCTGTTGATCTTAATACGTTTGTGAGGCGTTTTGCTGAACAACATGGTAATCGCTGCATTGAGCTTTATAGGCATGCCAACTTGATGCTCTGCTCACGGATGACTCGATGAGCATAAAAAACTGTTAAGATGATGACCTTACGTGTGTAAATATGTTTTTTTCTTTGACGGGGTCTGCCCCCAAAAAACAGTTAAGTCCTGAGAAAGTCAAATAAGACGGTGTGTAAAACTTCACTGCCCAGCCAAAAAAAAGTAACCACTTTGATTTAACTAGGCCAGTAGGTAAGGGCTTTCCACTGGATGATAATACCCCTGCATTATAGCAACAACAACAATAATAATAATAGCAATAATAATTGGGAGGGGGGGGCGCGGCTGTTCTTATGTTCTCTGAGGGGAGGCTCACCTTCCCACACTTTGAAAACCCCTGGTCTAAGTTATCTCAGTGGGTCTCAAACGGTTTGGTCATCATTTATCTAAACAAGTATTTCCAAGGCACTCCTTTTTATATGATCACTATACAAAATAAGAGAATAACAGGTATGAAATCATTCCAACTCATAGGCCTACTATAGGATACTAAAACAAAAATACAGTTTAAAAGGAGAGCAATTTGTAAAATATGAATAAAGAAAAAGTAAGTCTGTTTACAGTACTGTTTCACATGGGTATTGTTGAGAGATATATCTATAGATTTAGTCCCTAATGTTGCTCTCAAAGTGCAGCAGATAGATGCATTTAACTTCACCATTTAAAAAACAATCTTCCCGTGGGAGCATGCCCCCGGACCCCCCAAGAGGATGTTAGGTCCACCACCTGCCCACACCCCCTGTCAAATTGTCCCACCCACATTGAGGATGCTTCCTACGCCCATGCAAACACTCAATTTTACCATTCTGCAGCTACAGGATTATGTAGGCACGATGAGTTGTTTTCGTTACGAACATTTAATATTCCAAATCTCCACAGACTGTTAATTTGCATGCTACTGTTTCTGCCTCCATTATGATTTAATTAATTCTGACAAAAGTGAAATCCAAGCGGGGATTGTTATTGTTATCGTGGCCTCATTATGAGTGGTAATTTAGTTTCAGTTGGGGAAAAATACACGTCTTACGATAAACTCTGATAAAACTTAAGAGAATTCTAAAAACATTGAGGTGATGAAAGCAGCAGAGACACGTTGTGTTTGTCACCTTCAGTTGACCTACAGGTATAGGAGTGTACTGAAAATCGTTCACCAGAAATGACTCACATCTTTTAGATGAATAACTGACTGAATAGGTTTAAAGTATACATGTTGTGTTATCAAATGTATTTAGAAAGGATTAACATCGATCTTTCTGCAATTCCGTTTTCACACAGCAAGCTATATGTTCATTGTGGGACCTTTTTATATTTATAAATGTTACGTCTTTTAATGTTACCAAACTATAATCCACAGATATCTAAAGCATAATTAAATATGCATACTTTTGAGTACTTGTACTTGTATATGTAAAAATATATCGTTTTTGATATATATTTTTTGTATTATTGTTTTCTTCTTCTGTAAAAAATGAATGCCAAAACAGGTAATTGTATTTACTTCACAGCTAAAGAGTCTCAATCCACCTCCTTGGATTAAGACTTAAGAATCTCTCCCCGTGTTCTGAGAAAGAAGATCACAATAAAGTTGCGCAGATCTGGATAGTCTAAAATATATTTCCTACAAAAAGTCCTACATATAACTTTTTTTACACAATGGAAATGTTGCTAATAAATGCTTTAGTGCAACTGATATATGTTTATTCAACCTCTGATAATGACCATTTGTAACCATGGTTGCTGAATTGTACCTTTGTTATTGTTAGGCTATACAAAATGTGCAATCTTTTTTGTTGAAAATACAAACAAACGCAGTAAAAGTACTTTTCATGGACACACAATCCAGAAATATATTTGCTGTATGTTTGGTCATATGGTGTAGTTTGTTACCACAAAGGCATCTTTGAGGGGAGGGGACAGGAATAAACAAACTACAAAAACATAAAGGGAAGCCGAAATGATTTCCATGACAACATGATCACAGGCCTGAGTCCCTCCGTACAGGCAGGTACCAAAACTGTGCACACACTGTCCGGCAGAATCTGTTTTCCCATGAGCCTCCTTGTCTGTCCCCATCAGCCCCAGGAGACTCTGAGCAGCCTGAAGTCCATGGCCGAGCGAGCAGCACTCAGCTCAGGGATGGAGGGAGACGTGCCCTCCCTGCACCTCACCCCAGGTAACTCACACACATACTCACACAGACACACACTCTCTCACACACACACACACCTTAATGAAAGGAGAGGGTGGCAGGAATAGAAAGGCTGTAGTTTAATGGAACAAAATGTCATCTCACCTCCCACTCTCAGCTACTATGAACAAAAACTGCTGTAGATATTATCATCCTGACTCAACTCCTCTCTCTTTGTCTCTGACTTTCTACTCCTCCCCCCTGCACTCCCTCTCTCACTCCCTTACATCCTCACCTCCTCTCCTACTACTGCTCCCTTGCTCTCTGACTCCTAGTCTCTCTCTCCTGTCTGTCTTCAGACATTTTCCCCAGCAGCACTACGGCCCAGTCGGGCCCCTCGTCAGCGCCTCAGCTCTCGCTGTCGGAGGTCAGCATCCCCCCGTCACTGGGGGTGTGCCCGCTGGGGCCCGTCCCCCTCTCCAAAGACCAGCTCTACCAACAGGCCATGGAGGAGGCGGCGTGGACGCACATGCCCCACCCGTCCGACTCCGAGAGGATCAGGTGTGCTCATATTTCCATGCTGCACAAAAAATGATATAAGAGATAACTAACGTTCATGACAGAGTGCAGTGTTGGCAAAGTTAGAAAAACTAGTCTTTATAATCAGTCAGAATGTTGTCGGTCAGCCATGAGGAGAGAAGTACTGTGATTCTTTACTCAAATGAAAAAACTCACCCACAAAATCCTAAAATGAAGAAAATTAAATCTGATTTAAAGTAAAAGGGACAAAAAAACACATCCATTAAATGTAAGGGATACTTTCATAAGTGACATGGTATTTTGAGGGCCATGCAAAAAATGTTTAGGCACTTGGTTTGAAATAGTATACAGTACTATATAGTATATATGTATTATGGAAATCAGTTTTTACTCATTAAAAGACAAATGTGTTAGAATTTATTCAAAAATTCAAATAATTCCAAAAAGATGATGAAAGCGAGTTCTAAAACACAAACACCGTCGTGAACACGGCCTCTAATCTAACAGTTATTTGTCTTTTTATTTTTAATGATTGACTTGTTGCTAATAAGAACACACATTTGATTTCCCTGAACTTGATCCTCTTTACAAAAGAAGTACAAGCACACACGCCTCAATCATTGATCTGATTCCACAGGAATCTTTGAAACAACGTTTGCACTTAATTATAAAAATGTCCATTGTTTTTTTTTATCTTTTGTGATTCTGCTGCTTTTTCTTTGCCATCCAATCAAAAGGCCACAGGTCTAATCAGTTGCTGCACACAGTTGTTTAACAAGGGATCATTTAGACATCAACAGATGTCTGAAATGTATATTTAGTCATTCCAGTCTCCCAGTAATGCAGCATACCTACACACACAATTAGAGAGCAGATCATTCAGGCGCCGTGTTGCAGCGCAGTCAGCCCACACGGGTACAATTGACATTTAAATGAAAACACTCAAACCCTCTTGTCCCACAGTAGCTGTTGTTTCACAGCCAGAGGAGGAGAGTGACACACACACTCTGAGATAAAGACACAAGGAGAATCTTTGTATCTTAATAACTCAAATTCATTTCCAGTACACGCACTCTCTGACGTTTGACGATAATGTTTTATGGGAGTGCGACATGCGTCAGTCATGTTGTGCGTGTTACTGGGATAGGATCATTAGTCCTGGTTCCATCTGACCTGGCTAACATTGTAACAGGCCAATGGAAACGGAAAGAACAAACTGGGTGTGTCGCTGGTTTAAAAATACACAGTTTAGATGGAAAAACGTATTTTGGCAGAATGAGATCCACTAAATGTTCCTACTTTCCCCCATTCGGAAACTTTTCGTCCGTCTGACCAATCGATCTGTTAATTAGTCCTAAACTGCTCCCTGAAATCATTGGCCTGATCGATATGTAATGCGTTGGTAGTTTTGAAACCGCACAACAGTCGGTAGTGCCTTAGATTAAAAGCAACGTCTATTATCTAAGTGGATCTATCTATTTATACAGAAACTTTTAAATTACATTTAGATTTGAACACTTATATCTCCACCTCTGATATCATTTCTGAAATCCTTGAGATGTTCAAGTTTTCTACATCACACGTTCCATAAGAGTTATTATATATGTATTGATACTGGCCATAGCCAATAAAGAATGTTAAAGTAGGAACTCTATAAAAGTGTGTTACAGGTGATGAGGAGTGTGTGAAAAAATGTATATAAACCCTTTAGTCACCATTGGTTGGTTCTTAGGACTATGAATTTGTAATAAAATAACCTCTGTGGCCCGCTGCACATCTCCGCTGCAGCACACTTCAGACTCGAGCTACATTAGCCACTAGCATTACAGCCACATTTACCACCAAGCTTTTGGACGTTGAGCTGCATTATGGGAAATGTAGGCACCAGGTTTTGACATGAAGAACGATATGTTTTTCACTTCTATTATGAATCCTCATGTTTTGTCTTTGCATCAGTATGGTCCCACTAACCCCCCTCCCCTCTCTGCGATGTCACAGGCAGTACCTGATGAGGAACCCGTGCCCCACCCTGACTTTCCACCACCTGGTGCCCCCACCCCACTCTGACACTGTAGAGTTCTACCAGAGGCTTTCCACGGAAACCCTCTTCTTCATCTTTTACTACCTGGAGGTAAGTACTGTCAGAGACATGATGTCAACACAAAGAGGAGATACACGTAGATCATGATTCAGCCATCGAAGACACTTCAGAGATCTCAGATACAACCGTTAAACTGTTCTTACTAATGCTTCTTTTATCTCCTCTTCCTCTGCGCAGGGCACTAAGGCCCAGTATCTGGCAGCCAAGGCCCTGAAGAAGCAGTCATGGAGGTTCCACACAAAGTACATGATGTGGTTCCAGAGGCACGAAGAACCCAAGACCATCACGGATGAGTTTGAGCAGGTCAGCTTCTCTTCTTTGACCTCTAGGGGCTTATTTGACCTTTCAAAACATATTTGACACTTCACACGGAGTCAAACCTTAGTATGTTCGAAATCTGAACGTGTTGCCGCTCTCAGCAGACCATGGAGGAGTTAACAATGAAGGCAGACTTGATATGTACTGCTAAGGATACCAACAATTCAGGGACGTTTTAGGAATCGGTTGATACATTTATATTCATGACTGCTGCTGGGTATGAAAAGCAGTCAGACAGGGAGTTAAAAAATACAATTCGATATTGCCCAGCATTCAGTTGAAGACGGTCATCAGAGCGTGAACAACACTTGATTTATAATGAAAGCTCCCAAACCATTTAAACACATGGTTTGTAATCTGCAGCACAATCGTCATGAAGCCTGCTGAAACACAGCACAAGCTTTAAGACAGGAACTTGTTTCACACACTTTTCACATGTTTGATACTGTATACAGTTTGGAGTCCTTCTTCCTTTCTTAAGGATTTTGATGATGAAAATGAACTGTACTACAGCCGTGACGCAAATCAGGGATAAACACTGGCCCCTTCCCCGGTTTCTACCCCCATCATCCCTGATCCCTTGCTCGGACCAAGCCCATTTTCAAACTGGATCTTCCTTTTGATATCAGCTACACATCTGTAATGTTCAGTGACTGCATATCACCTGGTTGCGATCCCATTTCGGTGACATAATCCGTCCACAGAATAGAATCGCCAGCTAAATCCTTTAAACTGCTTTTTGTGGTAGTTCCTGTTCAGGTAGGTTTCTCCAGGACCTCATTTTGCCATGATCACACACACACACACACACACACACACACACACACACACACACACACACACACACACACACACGCACACACACCCTGGGAAAACAATACCAGTGTTGCAGCTGGTGTGTTCCCTTGCTTTTGACACAAAGCATGCTGGGAATAGCTCTAATACAGTAAAACCTTTCTTGTTTATTTTTCATTAAATGCCTTTAATTCTTCCTCAGGGAACGTACATTTACTTTGATTATGAGAAATGGGGCCAGCGCAAGAAGGAAGGCTTCACGTTTGAGTACCGGTACCTCGAGGACCGAGACCTCCAGTGACCCGCATCGAGGAACACACACACACACACACACACACACACACACACACACACACACACACACACACACACACACAGGCGAAGAGCGGACAGCTGAGGAAGTGTGAGAGGGACAGACGGATGGAGAAGGCTGCTCCACCTGCTGACATTCCTCGATTTGCCCTCGACTCGTTGGGGAGATGGACCCTGCCTCATCATCCTCCCCCCCAGCAGGGACACCTCCTCCCACCCTGTCACTCCTCCTCCTCCTCCTCCTCCTCCTCCTCCTCCTCCTCCTCCTCCTCCTCCTCCTCCTCCTCCTCCTCCTCCTCCTATCATCAGGCCTTTTATTCCCATCTTTTCCTGAACCATATCTCTCTTTAAACAACAAGGCTTCGTTTTAGCACAAAGAATTTATAATCCAACTATCGTGTGCTCTCCCCCCTCCATTTTGTTTCTCTCTTTGTGTTGGCTTTCAAACGTTATCTTCTATTAGCCCCTTTAAGAACCAAAGCTGATTGGTTCATCATTAAATGCTGGCTCTAAAGCAGGGATCAGCAGCAGGGCGGGATTCAAGGGAAATGTGTTATTGGAGTTATTGTAAATTCAGCTAGATTAGGGAGAAAATGGTCATAGGTGATGTGAACTGACTTGAGATCAGCCATGACAAGAGCTTAACGACACGTAATATATCCCGTAAGAACCGGAAATATATTTTGGTCTCTGCCATGTTCTCCACTATAGCTAATAAACTGGTAACGAAGTGTTTGTTATTGAGGCAAGAGCGCTTCACATACCTAATAATGTTTTGCATTATATCATTTTTCCAGTGGGGCGAGAGACATTAGTGGTGCTAATAGGAACTTCTTGGATGACTTTTGAAAGTCTGTATTTAATTATTATTAGAAAAGCACCAACTCAGAGGCTCTCTGCTGCCTACCGTCATGAAGGAGTCATTCAAACCTTTTTGTTCCCTTCAAATATGTCACTGGTGACTTAGTGCTAATAAATAGCTTTTCGATTTAGGGTTTTGAATATACCAACGCTATCTAAACGTTACTGGGAAATGTGATTAATGCTATGCAATCAGTTTGTGCACAGAAAGGCATCACTTCCCCAAACATTCATATTTAAAATGAAAAGCGTGTCCTCCGTTATTATTTGTTTGCAGTGATACAAACACTTTCCTCCCCCCAAAGAGAATCCCGTGACAGCGGCTGCATTTTAAGATTTGTGTCGTTAAGTTTTTGTCAATTGTTGTCTCTTGGAAGTTTAACCTATAATCAAATGCTCGGGTGCAATTCTGTCAAAACGCAAGATCAACCTTGCTCTTTTGGTAGAAAATGGTAGTTCAGTAGCATCCTCCTGCCCCCTTTTTGTTCATCTCCATCACCTCAGCTGAGCGTCTCCCACTGTGCGGTGGCTCTATCGCAGACGTAACACCAACACATCGTCTGTTCACCAGCGTAGAAAATAAACCAGCACCGCCTGCCAAATGTGGGTAAACGTTGGTGGGAGGTGGCGCCACAGGCCTCTCGCAGGAGAAGTGGCCGCTGCTTCATTTTGGGATTCCTCCAGCTGCGGTGGTGTTAAGACCTCGCGCCCTGCTCCCTCCCATCGGGCAGAGGGGTGAGGTGTGACACTAAGAGGTGATGGTAGTAACTCGGGCAGTTACAACACTTAAGAATATGTCAAATGTATTTATAATTCAGCATTTTTCCCACACGCGTTCACAAATGTCAGCAGTTCACCTTGTTTCTTTAAAGTAAAGGCTCAATTCACCCAACTCACAGCAAAGAAAATGAATTTAGCAAATGTTTCCTCTACTGGTGTCTGGTCATGCTTATGGATTTTTGTTTTTATTTTCCAGTGCTTTGAGGCAATTTAGAGACTTCTGCCTCTCTTCAATATGGAGCGCCAGCTATTAGCTTAGCTTAGCATAAAGACTGGAAATGGGCGAACAGCTAGCCTGGCTATATCCAAAGGGTACAAATGTAGCTTGACCCATTAACTCCTTATATACTGTTTGTTCAGTTTGATTTAAAAAGCAGTTTTGGGTTTTAAAGTGATTCTGGGCTATTTCCTGATGTGTTAAACTAACTTCCTGTTTTCCCAATGTTCCCATACATCACTCCCTGAAGAGCCACAAATGTTGTTGTTTTTCCCTTTTTTTAATTATTAATTTGACCTATGGTTTTCCTATTATTTCCAGTCTTTGTTGCCAACTCAAGCTAACCAGCTGCTGGCTGTAGATTCATCTAACTAGCAAAAAAGCATATTTCCCAAAACGTTGGGTGTATTGCTTTGTTTTTCAATTAATTGGTAAATAATGACATCTCCAGAATCAAACACTCGTTGTATTTCAAACCTGGAAAAGCATCTGCATGACTAGATACCAGTAGAGGTTGAAGTGATGATGTTGGTGTGTTTCTGTTGAACACTGAAGGCTCCAGCAGGGATCACAGTGAGAGTCGTGGGTGTAGATGCTACCAGCAGCTGGACCGACAGTTTGTTAGTCTCCCCCCTCCCCCACAAACTGAGCAACACCAGCACTGCTGCCCACACCTCCTCTGTCCTCCAGCTCCATGTTTACACACTGAACCGTTTCCACTGGGCACACAACACACACGCACTGCCCTGTCCTCACCACCAACAATTCATGATTTCTCTTTCCTCAATCCTAAACTTTTTTTTGATTCACTTGACTTTTGATTCTCACAATTCCTATTTTCCGAACTCCTCTCTCTTACAGCCGCCTCCCCTCCCCCCCTCTTCCTCTTCCTCTCATGCCAGGTAGATATTTCCTTTATTTCTCAGGAAGTATTTGATAGATCATTACAAGGAAATGTAATCCTGCCAGCAGCTCCCGTTGACACAGCACAACAACAACTACATAATCTTCCCCAAAATTTAAATTTTTGAAAATCTCCCTCTCTTTTGACCTGCCAGTAATATTTCACTCAAAGGCTTTTTAAGAAAAAAAACAAAAAAAAAATGCAAATATTACTCTCCAATGTTTGGAGCAGCGCCTGGGAGAGAGGCCATGTTTATATTTTGTCGGATTATTCGTAGTATATTATTTTTTCAGACATGGGGAAAGCTTTTTAAAAGCCCGAGGAGAACGAGGAGCACTGATCCTTTTTTTTTTTGGAGATCGGACATTTCTCAAGAGCAGTGTGGGGTTTTTATAGCCAGACAGACAACTCAACACTTATTCACTTGACTGACTGCTTTTAACCTTTTTTTTGTTTACTTCTTTATTGTTTTTGACAAGCGGAATCAATGAGAGGTCAATCCGAGAGGCGAAATGTGAATCTCTCTCTTGCCCCTTGACAAGTGTTGTATAGACTCTCATTCTTCAAACCTCTACTTTGTTTGTTTTGTTTTTTTTGTTGTCGTTGTTATTGCCGTCGTCAGACAGCACAGAATAATGACACTTGCAAAGTGGCGCTGAAAAAGTAAATAATGACATAACCATGAATAAAGGATTGTAAAATATTAATAAAAGAAGTACTTTTCAGAAAACTGAACTCGGCTGGTGCTTTGTGGTGACATTTATTCACATGGTACATACAGAGGTGTGACATCAAACCCCATTGGTCGCAAGGAAGGGGAGGTATTTAGTGTGCAATCTGATACTATTAGTTTTATTTACAGCAGGGGATGATATCCAGTTATTTTATCCAATTGAATTGTTCACGTAAATAAATGGAGTTATTTAAATATGTAATTGTAGTGCATCCTGTTTGACAGAATGATGATCGTATCATGACGCTCCTCTAGTGGCCGGCTCAGGGCAGTCAGGCTGACCGCTGAACGAGCAGAACACTGCACTTCCTGTTGTCATGCCTTAAAGCAACACAATGGGTTTTAAAGGAAGAGACCAGCTGAAGTAGAAATGTATCAAAGGCCTTTCCAAATATGCTTTAAGTCTCTAGATTGACTAGTCGTAGTACACTTTGACTTATTTTCTTCTTCAAAAAATAATTGAAGGCATACTGTAGGGTTTGAGCAAATGTCCAACCTCTTTATTTGACATAGCAATACGCATTTGTATGGTTGGGAAGGTGACTTTAAAAACATATTCCTGCACAACTAGTTACATGTTTAAAAAAAAGTAATCAGTAACTTAATCTGAGTATCACCATGTGAAAGTAACCTGAATACTTTGCAAATAAAGACAAGAATAGTATAGTTTACAAATGCTCTTTTGGTTTAAGACATGAATTGAATGCAAACACTACTTTTGTTTAATAAATCAGGTGTACACCTACTGCATTTCAAATATAAAATTGCCTAAATGAAATCTGTAAAAGGACATTCTGTCAGTATGTCAACATATATATATATAGATTTTTATTTTTAAATGTATTTTAACATTATAATCCTGCAAGAAATCCCCATTTAGAATCAAATGAAGCAGAAATCTGATGTATTTTTTTAATGTAATTGTCAGGGAATACAGTACCTTCTTTTGTATAATGTCAAATTGATCATGTGAATTTGTTGTATTAAAATGGTTGCTGCTGCTCAGCAGTTCAAATGTCTGTCAGCTGGAGCTCGAACGTCTGCATTCACATGAGCGCAGAGAACAGGCTGCATGTTGTTCACTTGAACACAAGTCAGAGTTTAGCACTGTCAATGAAGGGGACATTCACTGGGAGGAGTATTGCAAGACTAAATAGTACCAGTGGTGTTTAATATATTTACTCAAGTACTGTACTTAAGTTCAGAGGTTAATCGTATTCTTTTACTCCACTACATGTATTTAATACCTTTAGGTACTTTACAGATCTGGATGAATGATGTGAAATCTAATCAAGTGTTAAATCAGACTTTAGTTCCACCTGGAGTAAATCCACAAGCTACCCTGCAGTATACAAAGTCATTCAAACTAGCTGCACCTTTACCAGCTTTGAGAACACTTTCATGATCAATCATTATAAAACATATCATATATATTATTCTGAAATGGACCAATCTGCACAATGAGTATACCTTTGGTACTTTAAATATATGTTGATGCTAATACTTTTGTACATTTTGATTGCAGGACTTTTACTTGTAACAGAGTATTCCTAGACTCTGGTACTTCTACTTTTACTCAAGTACAAGATCTGAGTACTTCTCCCACCTCGGCATAGTACAAGTAGTAATATCACACTGTAAAAACACTTAATCACACATAATTAATTACACAGAGAAGTCCTGCATTAGATATCCTTAAGTAAAATAAGTGGAGTATTATCAGTATACTTTAAGTGAAAAGTAAATGCAGGAAAAAAGTGTTATGATTCTGTTTTATTTGTGTATAATTTCCCCCCACTAAAATTATGAGGCAGAAACTACAGTGGGGCAAAAAAGTATTTAGTCAGCCACCAATTGTGCAAGTTCTCCCACTTAAAAAGATGAGAGAGGCCTGTAATTTTCATCCTAGGTACACTTCAACTATGAGAGACAAAATGAGAAAAACAATCCAGAAAATCACATTGTCTGATTTTTAAAGAATTTATTTGCAAATTATGGTGGAAAATAAGTATTTGGTCAATAACAAAAGTTCATCTCAATACTTTGTTATATACCCTTTGTTGGCAATGACAGAGGTCAAATGTTTTCTGTAAGTCTTCACAAGGTTTTCACACACTGTTGCTGGTATTTTGGCCCATTCCTCCATGCAGATCTCCTCTAGAGCAGTGATGTTTTGGGGCTGTCGCTGGGCAACACAGACTTTCAACTCCCTCCAAACATTTTCTATGGGGTTGAGATCTGGAGACTGGCTAGGCCACTCCAGGACCTTGAAATGCTTCTTACGAAGCCACTCCTTCGTTGCCCGGGCGGTGTGTTTGGGATCATTGTCATGCTGAAAGACCCAGCCACATTTCATCTTCAATGCCCTTGCTGATGGAAGGAGGTTGTCACTCAAAATCTCACGATACATGGCCCCATTCATTCTTTCCTTTACACGGATCAGTCGTCCTGGTCCCTTTGCAGAAAAACAGCCCCAAAGCATGATGTTTCCACCCCCATGTCTCACAGTAGGTATGGTGGTCTTTGGATGCAACTCAGCATTCTTTCTCCTCCAAACACGTCTAGTTGAGTTTTTACCAAAAAGTTCTATTTTGGTTTCATCTGACCATATGACATTCTCCCAATCCTCTTCTGGATCATCTAAATGCTCTCTAGCAAACTTCAGACGGGCCTGGACATGTACTGGCTTAAGCAGGGGGACACGTCTGGCACTGCAGGATTTGAGTCCCTGGCGGCGTAGTGTGTTACTGATGGTAGCCTTTGTTACTTTGGTCCCAGCTCTCTGCAGGTCATTGACTAGGTCCCCCCGTGTGGTTCTGGGATTTTGCTCACCGTTCTTGTGATCATTTTGACCCCACGGGGTGAGATCTTGCGTGGAGCCCCAGATCGAGGGAGATTATCAGTGGTCTTGTATGTCTTCCATTTTCTAATAATTGCTCCCACAGTTGATTTCTTCACACCAAGCTGCTTACCTATTGCAGACTCAGTCTTCCCAGCCTGGTGCAGGTCTACAATTTTGTTTCTGGTGTCCTTTGACAGCTCTTTGGTCTTGGCCATAGTGGAGTTTGGAGTGTGACTGTTTGAGGTTGTGGACAGGTGTCTTTTATACTGATAACGAGTTCAAACAGGTGCCATTAATACAGTTAACAAGTGGAGGACAGAGGAGGCTCTTAAAGAAGAAGTTACAGGTCTGTGAGAGCCAGAAATCTTGTTTGTTTGTAGGTGACCAAATACTTATTTTACAGAGGAATTTACCAATGAATTCATTAAAAATCAGACAATGTGATTTCCTGGATTATTTTTTTTCTCATTTTGTCTCTCATAGTTGAGGTATACCTAGGATGAAAATTACAGGCCTCTCATCTTTTTAAGTGGGAGAACTTGCACAATTGGTGGCTGACTAAATACTTTTTTGCCCCACTGTATAAAGTAATGTAAATAAAACAATGTAATAACAACTAATAAAGTTTAAGTAGATTTATATTGTACTAAATTACTTTTCAGCACTGTATTATTATGTTCTACACAGAAATCAAAATGGTACTTAATCCTTCTTCGTTTTTTTCAGGGCATTACAGTTTTTTCCCCTCATGCCAATAATGATGGACTTCAGTTATTGTGTCAATATTCGAGCTTGTGACCTCCTTTAGAGGAAACACATAAATCACATGTGCTCGCACCACATGTCTCTTCATGCAGCTTCTCTCTCTGTATGTGCATTACGTGGCGCTGTATGGAACAATAAAGCTTTAATGAAGCCTTAGCGGCTCTCAGGGAAACACATTAGCAGGCGCTGCTTAAGGAGATGTTTTGTTATTCCTTGTTGCTCTCGGGCAGGACCTGTCAGCAGGGTCGGGAAGCACATTTACATTGGATTGTGTTAATATTGCATGATTGAGAGAATACAGTCAAATGGAATGCTCTTTACTTCACATCTGATTGAAGAATGTAGGTACTAGTTGTTCCAAAGATAAAGAATTGACATTAAAACATATCATTTCATTAAATATTAACCAGCCAACACTACAAATATAAAGCTGTTTTAATAAGCTCCCCATGCTGCAATATTAAAACTAGAGTACAGTACTTTAATGTGTTTAGCATTAGTAATTTAACACTGACTAAAAGACCATTTTGCACTCTACTAATCGTTTATGCACGTGTTTCTTAATAATTTCCCCTACATTTACTTAGCCCTCCTGTTGTCTTCGGGTCAAATCTACTTTCATCAATCATAACTTTTTTGTTTTAGATTCGATTGCATTAAGGCTTTATCCTTCACAGTAGACATTTGAACATATCAAATTGCTGACACCCATGGTGTTCCCACCGCCATAAAGAAAAGGAATTAGTAACCATCCGGATCAGATAAAACACACACACACATACATACTCTAGATGTGTTCCCCCCCTTATGTGCCCAATCCCCCCATGTGAATCACACCTGGCACACACAAACACACACAGAACAATTTGACACATTTCCCGCTCTTATGTGCCCATCCCCCCACATGGATCACACCTGGCACACGCAATACATGTTCAGTGTCTATTCTTTGTATATTTACTGCAGTTTTTCATGTATACCAGTAGTCTGATACAATATGTACAGTTTGAAAGGGTGATAAATGCAATTTGTTGATGATTAATGGTTTTTGTGTTAATGTAATAGCAGTTAAAACAAGACCGGTCAAATTTGACCGCCAACACCAAAGTAAAGGGGGGGGGAACGAAGACCATAGGAGGGTTAAAGCCAATATATGAAGAAGTACACAATCACATAAAAGTTCTATACATAAAAGTAGTGGATTTAAGTGTTTTATATTACTTTTGCAATTCTGAAGAGACTTTAAATATGTTAAACATGCTCAACTACATGAAAGATATTGTAAAATAGATGCTCCACAGCTCACAGAAAACAATGTGCACATAGCAACACATTAACATTAAACCTATTTCCAACATAAAGGCATGTTTAAAGTTTCCACAAGTATTTACTATC